TTGAGTTTTTATGACAACTGAAGCTACCACAGGTTCTTTATGTGTTTGGAAGGAGAGGGTGAGGTGAGGGGTGTTCAGCTGCAACATGCAACTTCAACACTAGCATCACAAAATTCTACACACTGTACCTTTAATTAGAGATATGTCCCATGATACCCGGTTCCTTTGTGTGTTGCAGGTGATTATCTAGGTGGAGAGGCATACTGGGCTGGTGGCCTGCACCTCTACACACCTCTGCCCTTCAGACCAGGCAAGGGTGGTTTCGGAGACCTTTTCAGGACCCATTTCTTTCTCAATGCCGGCAACCTCTGTAACCTCAACTACGGTCGGTGCATTCAAAATGTATTTTCATTATGATGATGATTATTATTCTATCAAAACCATTAAATGTTAATGTACAGATGTAAATGAAATATTTCTTCAAGAGGTTCTAAATATATGTCTGACTTGTCCCTACATCCGTCCACCTGTCCCTTCTCATCCTTGTGAATGTAATATCTAAAAAACAAAACATGTACGTGGACTCAGAAGAACTGATTAGAATTCTCAAAGTTTAATTGATATTTTGCAAAACACTTTTGCTATAATTCAACACTATAACTCCAGAAAAGAAGCTGAGGTGAAGACCACATTTCCTACAAATTCACTGGTTGGTCTAATTCAAGTTTGATCCCAACACTCATCAAGTTTTTGCTGATATTTGTGGACTTTGGAATGGAAATTATTTAACCATTCCAGGGACACATGTGGAGCCTATGTTGATGCATCATCAGGGTGTGAATGTGTGTGAAAGGGTGAATAAATGAAACACTGGTAAGCATTCTGATTGGTTGATGGACTTAAAAAAGGGGTATAAAAATGTACTCTTTGGATTGCTGCAGTTGTAGTGTGTGACATGTAGAGTGATTTGTGTGCAGGTGATGGTCCCCGGGCACACCTTCAGAAACTAGCAGAGTGTATCCGCTGGTCATACGGAGCAGGCATCGTGCTGCGCCTTGGAAACATCGCCAGACTGGAGCTCAACTATTGCGTGCCCATGGGAGTTCAGAGTGGAGACAGGTAAGACTACGGCTCGCCAACTCTGACAGAGTGGCTGTGGCTCGGATGGTGGAGCAGAGGTCTGGCTGAGTGTCCTTGGCCAAGATTTTGAACTTCTGAACCACAAATTACACCTGACGGCTGTGTCCTGTGATAGACAAAGTGCTGCACATAGATGCAACATGTATGTGGACAGGTGAATGGTAAAACTTGTACTGTAAAGAACTTTGAGTTGTCACCAAGACTAGAAATCAGACCATTCACTTGATGTCGGCCCTGACTCTCGCTGCATGGCTCTGTGGATCACAGTGTGTCTGTCAGCCAGTCCACCACTTGGGTCCACTCTGAAATAACTTATCAGCTGGGTGACATGTGGTTCAGGCATTCTAGTGCCCCTCTGGTTGAAGTACAGTCAAAGGTGCACGCTAACACTGTAAGAACATACTTGCTAAACACCAGCCTGTTATCATGACCATGAACATGCTGACATCAAACTGCAGCTGTGGGCTAAGCATGAGTTAGTCCGTGTTCTACTTGACAAAAAACTGCAAATGACGTCAGACTTCTGCTCCAACGACTCTTTGCTATCCTGGCTCATAAATGGTGGAACGAGCTCCCCATTGACACCAGGACAGCAGAAAGTCTACACATCTTTCACTGCAGACTAAAGACACATCTCTTCTGACTACACATTGGTGAAGAAGATGATGAAGAAGATGTAAAAAAAAAAAAAAAAAAAAAATGCAAATACACGAGGCAGTCCAAGCTCCTAAAAGAAGTATAACACGCAAAGTGCTCAGAGCAAAAAATGCTTACTGTTTATAGGAAACAACTTGAAAAAGACACCCCTCATTACAAAAGCTTCCTGTCTGATCTTTACTTTATGCTAACACTCGATCCTAACCCGTCTTTCTTCTCTCCTGTGTCAGGATATGTGACGGCGTCCAGTTCGGAGCAGGAATTCGCTTCCTGTAACCTCGTCACTCCGCTGATCTCAGTCCTCCAGCGAAAGCTGCGCTGTGAAAAGGGAGAACATTTTGTTGTTAACCAAGTGTAACTTGTAGAATATGTAACACTTACATGATTACTATGTCCTGGGGAAATGTGCCTGAGTCCCCGAACCCACCTTTGATACGCCCTCCTCAGAAGGACAAAGTTCCAGTGCTGGGCCAAAAAACCCGGGAACCTATTTGCGAACTGAACAGGCTTTCCACTGACGAGACCCTAAAGGAACCAAATCTAAGATTTCTTTAGCAACAACTGCATATTCTACAAACTGTCACAGCACTTCAGCGTTTCTCTTCAGCAGATTATTAAATTGTGGCTTTATTTTAATTTGAGCCACTAATCCTTTCTCCCGGGTTTGAAATCTCCAGCATTGGCACATTGTCTTTTAAAGTCAGGTACCGGTGATACAAGTGACGGTTAAACAAAATAATTTATTTGCTGGAAAGTTGAAGAGATTTTGGGCTTGCTCCCAGTTTGCCTTCCAGGTTAGTTTTTTTTCCAGCAGCATGACTTGAGGTTAGTGTCCACTGCACTCTCTATGACTTAGGTTCAGTTGTACTGTGTAATTGAATGATTGTAGCAGAGAGGGAATGAACAGCAATGTAGGAAATGAGTCGACCCTCATGCCAAAGTGGATTATTCAAATAATGTCAGAAGTGAAGAATGACGGTTTGAGTTGCTGCCACTCCCAGATCCACCCCCCCCCCACCCCCCCTCCCCACCACCATGACCACCCACACCCTGAGCAACATCTACCACCAGTGCTCTTACATTTAGTCCTCTTTTTTGATGTCGTTGAAGCTCTTCACAAATAAACACACAAAACTGGCTTGGTTTCTGTTTGCTTTCTTTGTATATTTCTCAAATACACAGTCAACAGATAAAACTGAAGCCATTGCACTTGGCCCGAAACATTGTCTTAGCAGAAAGTCCCCTCGGATGGTGTTAGTTTGGCCCCCGGCTCTACTGTGAGGAACCTCAGAGTTATTATCAGGATGTCCCAGTGAGTCTGTGAAAAGCCTCCAGGGGGTCCAAAAAGTCCCGCTCCTCACACACAAACCCATTAATAATCAAACCCCATCATATATTTAAGAACTTATAGCACCCTAGTATCCCAAAAGATCACTTGGCTCCCTATATGGGCTTAATTGTGGTTCCTAGAGTCTCTAGAGTTAGGAATAGAATGGGAGGTAGGGCCTTTAGCTACCAGGCTCCTCTCCAGATTGGATACTACACAGCAATTATTATTAGCATTAACTAGTGCTGGTCATTAATAACACCATTATATCTATAAATATCACTGTTATTTTACTATAACAACAGAGCTTAAATATAATGGTTGCACAGCTATTCCTGGTATTGCTCTACTCTCTCTACCTCTGTGCACTACTGTCACCAAAGTGTTTGCTCATTGTGGGAACTATTGGGTTTCTATCATTTTGTAAGGTCTCAACTGGAACATATGCAGGTTCTGGGTTTTATGTAATTAATTTGGTGAATGGATTCACATTTATATCATCGACCACTCAGGGCTGTGCATGCATGTCTCATTCACACACTGATGACCCAGCATCAGGTGAAGTCAGAGTAGTCCACTGTCTTCACATACTTTTGATTTTGGTCAGCGATTCATGTCTCTTGTATTTTTTGTTTAAGCTGACAGCTATTGAAAATGTGTGGCAGAACAGGCCTTGATAGTATCTAGCATTTTTTTTTACAAATCATTTACATCATGTTATAAAAGTCACAAACTCATTTGTAGTGAGGGACATGAGCAATGCAGTGTTGCAACATCACAGAGGTGTTATGATCTGATAAATAGTCAAATTAGTGAGCAGCAGCTGAAAGAGTGGAGTACTTGCAAGAGGACTAACCAGGAAGTTATCAGGTGTACAGGGTACAGTCTAACCTACACACCTTGTTGAACACACACACACTCTCCCTCACAGAAGACATGAATGAATGGGAATGCGTCACTGCCCTGTAGGTTGCGAGGCCAGAGTTTGAACCTTTGCTCCACTGGAGCCTGTGTTAGGCAGTTAAGTGTGGATGGTGCCAGATGTGTGTTTGATGAGAGTTTATTCTGTGTGGGAGTCCATGCAGGTGTTGAGCAGCTGAAACCTGCAGAGCCAAAGGGCCAAGATAACGCAAGTGAACTGAGGGTGGAATAAAGTGACCTCTAAATGAATCTCTACATTGAACTAGGTGTGTGTGTTGCAGAAGGGCACTGTGCGCCTTTTAAAAACCTTTCAGTTTATTGAAATCGTGAATGTGTGGATGGCAATAAACTTTGAGTGGTCATCAAGAGTAGAAAAGCACTTTATAAAAATACAGCCCAAATACAGACCAACTCTTAAGAATAAAACACAACAGTGGCATCAGTGGTTGAATTTCTCTATAATTATATAAAAAATAATTGAATATATGTTGGGACCCCTCTAAAACGAGATGGTACATCTCAAGGAGCTTATCCAAATATTTGAAAGAAACAGTCATTCAGTCGGTTGATAATAATAATAATAAAGCAATAATAATAATAATAGCAATAATAATAATATTGAAGCAATAGCAATAAAAATAACAATAATAATAATCTATATAGTATGGAAGCGTATTGCAAACTCGGTTTGTTTTTTTGAATAATTTTTCCTTTTTCTGACTAATTTTTTCCCCCTTGTTTTTCGGAGTAATTTATTTTTTGGTTTGTTTTATGGAATAATTTTTTCAGTTTTCTGAATAATTTTTCCCCCAGTGTTTTTCTAAATAATTTATTTTTTGGTTTGTTTTCTGAATAATTTTTTCCCCCCTGTTTTTCTAAATAATGTATTTTTTGGTTTGTTTCATGGAATAATTTTGTCCCCCCTGTTTTTCGTCGTAATTTTTTTTCTCTAACAAATAAATAAAAAAACATAAATTCCCACGTGTGACCGCGCGCCAGAGGAGGGGGGCGGCCACCGCGTGAGCGCGCACGCACAGTGTGGAGCGCTGGCGGAGCGGGCACGTTACGTCTGTCAGACCGTGTGTGTCGAGCCCAGACCACTGCCCCTGCCTCTGACTGTGAGGAGGCAGGTGTGTGTGAGTGTGTGTGAGTGTGTGTGAGTCTCTGCAGCGTCTGGACACCTTTCGAATTCCTCATCGGTTTTATACACAAACACCGCCATCATGTTGTGGACAGCGAGTCACGCCTTACGGAGGTTCTCCACGTCGTCGGTGAGTATCGTTGCATGTGTCGCCTTCTGCAGCGGCTGCTGTGTTGCATTGATGCAAATATCAGCGGTGCACGGAGGGATGGGGGGGGGGCTCGGTGCGGGTCAGTGAGTCGCAGTTCGGCTCCAGGTCTCCGCGAGTCTGCTGCAAGTGTAACGTGATGGAGTCCTGCGTGAGGTCCAGTGTGCCACGTTAGCCCCCCTCTGCCTGCGCTGTTCATGCCGGGGAGGAGTTGCATCAGCAAAGCAGCTCCGCTCAGCGGCTTATCCTCCCGCAGGACCGCAAGCACACCAGCAGCCTGGGATCCTGCAGGGGGCCAGCTGCTGTGGATGCATGTCTTTGAATGCACCACGGAGCACGTTACACAAGGCAGCACAGTGCAAACCAGAGACTGTGCCTCGTGCGCCCGGGTAGCACCATTCATCTGAGGACGTGAAACCTGAAACCTGCTTCCTTCACCCTTCACATGTGTTACTGCACTCAAACGCTTTTGGACCTGTCACTGTGTGACCAGTGCCTCAGTCCCACCTCATGGACTGTGAGGCAGGGGAAGGCAGTTTCACTTCTGAAGCACGCTTAAGTTGCTGAAAACTGCAAAAAGAATAAAATGGAACTAGTATAAAATACAGATATGGTGTGATCTTGGCAAAATAGCTTAGTTAAAGGTTTAGTGTGTATAATTTTGAGACATCTAGTGGTGAAGTTGCATGTTGCACCTCAATTCACCCTTCCCAACATAAAGGAGAACCTGTGGCAGCTTCAGTTGTCATAAAGAGGTTTAGTTTGTCCAGTCTGGACTTCTGTAAAAAAAACATGGCAGCCTCCGTAGAGAGGACCCGCTCCCTATGTAAATGTAAAGTATTCAGTACAAATGTTTCATTCCAGGGTAAAGAAAAGAACACTTCATACAATTTAAATGAAACACACTAGTGAAAACATCACTAGGATTATTTGTATATAACATTTCTTCCAATAGATCCCTTTCTCCTAACTCTTACACACTGGACCTTTAAAGGGTCTTGTAAATAAACAGGTTTTAAAAACTGCAGTAGATGGAGCATTCCACAGACCATCAGGCAGTTGGTTCCAGCGCTGTGTTTCAGAAAGTGACTAAAAGCTGTTTCTCCATGTTTAGACCTTGCCCTGTGTACCACTAGCAGACCACTCCTCAGTAATCTCTGGTATCTTGCAGGGTTGTGCTGGACTGACCTGTCTGTTAGCTATTTGCTAGAAGCTCCATTCAGAGATTTGAAAATGAGCAGTAAATTGTATGTTTAGTTAATATATAGTTTGTTAGCTCATCTGTCAGTTCAGTCTTTCTGGAAGCAGTTTCCTGTGTGGCTGGTTTTCTCTGCCTTTGATTTTTAAAAATCAGGTGTAGAGTTTATAACTTTAAGTCTCGTACTGTCAGATAAAAAGAGATCTGAAGATGTTACAATGGGAGAACATTTGTGGTGAAATAGTTTGCTGCTATTTAGGCAGGATTTGTCTGTGAATAAATTAATAATCATATAAATTCAACAATTGTCGGAGAAGGGGAACAGGGACACAGAGGGCCTTCTCCACTGACCAGGAGTGGTCCGTTGGGGCAACCCTGAGACTGGGAAATGCTGGTGGATATAGGCCAGTGGATGTACCATCACACAGTGCCTCCACCACCTGAAGACCAGACCTGGTACCTTTTAAAACCTGACAGCATTCAGTCCAAGAGTTCGTTTTGTGCAGTCTTTGAGGTGCCCTTGATCCTCCATCCGCGGTCCTCCAGCACACTGTCTAGGGAGGGAAGACGTTTTAAAGGCCCCACTAAATTGAATGCAATCAATTATCTTTCGTGCCTGTTTTTATCCGTCTTTTCATTGTTTCCTCACCCCAATCCTTCGTCCAGCTGCGAAGCAATGTTAACTCTGATCAGCATGGCTAGCGTGACCAAATGTTCCATGTCTGCCCACGTATGCTTCTTAATCTTTTCAGATAAATGTTTGATCTGTTTTACTCCTCTAACAGTCCATGTTGTATCCGTTCCCACCGTTTGTCTGGTGTACAAATTATGGGCGAGGCCTCGCCTGTGACTTTTGGAATTTCCCTTCAGGGATTAATAAAGTATTTCTGATTCTGATTCTGAACCTTTTTCCACTAGCTTGTTTTTGGGTTTTTATGTTGTGTTGATTTTGCCCATGCTCTTTGATTTGTAGTGTCCCTGCCAAAGTTCTCCTCTCATACTGATTTTCAAAAAGATTGAGTGATTGAGTTTTGGTGTTGCTGGGATCCTTGGTTTTAGTCTATGAGGCAGAACAACAAGGCTGGAAAGCAATAGTCCATCCAGTGGAGGTTTGCTGCAGGGGTTTTATTGCAACATCAGTGAGCTCATTGAGCTAGGAATCCAGGGACAAGCTCTGCACCAGACTATTAAAGAAACATATCATAGACTGCAAAACACTGCAGCTCCAATTGCTCTGGATCAGGAGGAAAGACCCCAACTGGGCCCTAAGTGATAGGGACACACTGTGGTGAGCCTCCCTTAGCAGAGGGTGACTTGTGATTAACAGGCTAAAACACGTGATTACACTAGGTCCACAACTGATGATACATCCCAAACATCTCCTGGTGGCTGCTCATCTTCATGTTTGGACGGCAAGTTTTTATTCCAACATCTGTTTTAAGTTGGAAACGAGAGAATATTTGAAGTCAATTCACAGTGGACTTTCTATAAGTGCATCAGAGCATTTGATGTACTTTGCCTTTGCCGTAGTTTGATCAACTTAACCTTCTGCATATAAAAAACTAAACTATCCAATCCGTGTTTTCTGTCTATGCGTGTAATATTAATAACCACAGCTTTCTTAGATTTAACGTAGGTGATAGTTTCAGGACACATCTTTATGTCCTCTGAGATACGTACAATGGACCATACTTTCCACTGCAGGGGAACAACATGGTTTTCTTTTAATTTATAAATCCACCTGTTTCATTTATCATCACTAAAGAATACAATAAATACTAGGATAGCCTATATATGAATACAAGTTTGGGAAAAGTACATGCACCCATTATGCTCTTCATATATGGAAAAGAATATGCATGTTTTTCACCAGGCTATTTCTCTTCATGTCGTTTTTGTTTTCCTCTTGAGTCTATATTTTTTGATGAGATTGTTGATTCCTACATTGATTTTTATTTACCAGTTTGAAAGTTATGTGCTCAACTGATATATCCTGATGAAACAGAGTTCCGCGTACAGACATGCGAAGAAGCCTCAATGCAGACGAGCAGGAACTTACGTGTTGTTTTTCTCTTGTTACAGCATTATTACCAGAATAAGCTCAAATTAGCTATAATTGGCCAGAGCCTGTTTGGCCAGGAGGTGTACAGCAACCTGAGGAAGCAGGGCCACAGAGTGGTGGGTGTCTTCACTGTGCCCGACAAGGACGGCAAGGCTGATCCCTTAGGTGAGTTAACTCTCATTACCTCTGTGATTCCCTGTTGGTGTTTCCTCCCTGTTCTGTGCATCACTACACTGCATGTGTTTTAACTGTTTTCCTGCTGCTTCATTTAGCTTTTATTTGCTGATGGGTTGTGTGGTCTCTGTTTGTTGGCATCTCACAGCCAGCAGTAGCCCATGCGTAGAGAAGAGAGCAGAACAAACCACTGTCTGAGTTCTTACATGGAACTGATTCTTTAAATCATTCTAAAGCCCTCTGATTAACTAACTAGGCAACCAAGACTGTTAAATGAGCCGTGTTTTTCAAAACTGAGTCAGATCACGGACTGTCTCTTATAAGAACATTTGGTAAAGATTGGTATTTTATTCCAGACAAAATGTGTTCAACCGTTTAATGTCTGGACAGATTTGTTGTCTTACATTTGATCGTGTTGCTTCTAATCAAAATTAAACTTGGTATTGTCCAAACTGCTCATATCAAATCAATGAATTAAGCTCTGTGTTTGGACCCCAGCACCTCCTGAGGAAAATAATTGTCTATAGCTGTAAAATGCTTAAATTTGTTCACCAGCTGCTTTCTGAATGTGTTTTTCTCCAGCACTGCTTGTAAGTTAGTGTTGTTTTTTTGCGGAGGCTCTGTATATTTCCTGAAAAATGTTTATCTGAACATGTAGTTGAGATGTGCTTCAGTATTTGTCCATTTATTAGATCTTTGTATTTGTATAGCCCTTATTCAAAAACAGAGAAACTTCAGAGAGGTACAGAAGTGCAATAGTCATTAAAATAATAACATTAACAACATTGATGAGATGACAGTTATAATGATAGAGGTTTTGCCATTAATGGGAGTATATGCGAGCTGGCACATCTTATATCTAAGCAATCCAGTTAAAATAATCCACGATCAGCTGCCACAACAAATGTATTTAATGCTGATGTCAATGTACTTGAACACAAAATGTTAATTCTTTCTTTGATCAAGTCTCTTTTAATCATTTATATATATTCAAAACAATTTTTTAGACATTGGCCCAGTTAATCAGTTGATCAATGAATTAGTCCTTTACTAGTTTTGTACAGAAGCTGTCAGACGTGATGGACCTTGATGGTCCTGTGTCCTCCGGTCTCATCACAGATATGTCATATGCTGACTTGACAGGCCTTTATTGTGTGTCAGCTGTGGGATAGTGGATTCATTGTGCAGGGAGAGGCCCCATGTGGCCTGGAGACACAGCTCTGAAGTGCATGGTTGGGACTGCACATATTGGTATGATGCAATCTTTCCAGGAAACATCATCATCAGCTTACAGCCTCCTGAGTGTGCAGCCTGCATTCACATTTCCCCTCTACTTCCAGTCTTCCCCATATTCCTGACGTGTCCACATGATTTTAGATTTTTATATATAAATCTTTAGCACTTTAAAAACCAGGGAAGAGCGTTTATACAAGACTCTGTAATGTGAGAGTGCAGAGTGCTGTAGTATTTTTTTGCTCTAGCATGTTGTTATGTGAAGTATATTCTCATTCGGTAAAGATAAACTGTAGATTTAAATACACACTGCACTTACATAGGTTACCACAACATAAATAAACGCATGCATATGCCATTTGCGTGTGTGTGTGTGTTTGTGTGTTGTGTGTGAAGGCTATTGAAATGTTGGTGTGGAAACAGAATGTAGCAGGACTTGTCCAGTGTGAAGAGAAGTGTCTTACCTGATTCTGAAACTGTTCTAACTGCACTCAGGGGTTACCATGGTGATTTTAAGAGGTTATATTTAATTAGACATTTCACAAAATATGACAAAATCTCCCTAAACATGAAGTTTGTTGTTCGTCATTGGACAGACACTGAGTCAGTTGAGAGTTTATTCAGGGGATGTGTTAAGATGGGATGGTGCTGGATGCACTTTAAACTCTTAAGTTGATGTTTGTCAGATCTTCACATCAAATCAGGATTTTTGGCAAAACATGAGTAAATAGTCTGTCAGCATTAAGGTCAGATACGGTTGGTGATTTAGGTAACAGTTAACCAACACCTTTTCCATAAACTGTCACTGTCATAATGAATTGATACCTTAACAGATAGAGGCAGCAAATGAAGTGTGAGGTCATCACCCTGCAGCCTGCTATATAAAATATAAATTCTCCTTTTCTCTGATAGCGGTGGCGGCAGAAAAAGACGGGACGCCGGTGTTCAAGTTCCCGCGGTGGCGAGTCAAGGGGAAACCCATCCCAGATGTGGTGGAGGCGTACAAGGCGGTGGGCGCCGAGCTCAACGTCATGCCCTTCTGCTCCCAGTTTATCCCCATGAACATCATCGACCATCCCAAGCACGGCTCCATCATCTACCACCCCTCCATCCTGCCCCTGCACAGAGGAGCCTCGGCCATCAACTGGTGAGCGAAACGGGAAGTCCCGAGGAAGGAAACCGAGAAAATCCTGTTTACTAAATCACATCTCACATCTTTCGAGCAGATTTTTCCTTCATTGGTCACATGACCTCGTTCAAGATTTAGAGAGTTTCCTCCAAGGTCCAGAACATCATACTGTCTAAATAGCATTATGATTTAGTGCAATATATATTAACATATTAGATTATCAATGTCTGTGTGTTATCGACAACTGAAATATGATGCAACAATATTTAAAAAAACTATTATAGCTCTTAAAAATAAAATACATAATAGAACGATTTTTTAAAATATGCACCTTAAAAAAGTAATTTTAGAAATAAACAAAATAAAAGGTGTCCGTTTTTTTTCTCTTTGTTTATTTTGTGTTCCAAGACACACCCACAACTCCAGCTCAATCCTGTGCAACAGTCGAGGTCATCAGATAAAATTTCAGACTCATAATCAAGACCATCTTCCTCACTGTTCTTCATGCAGCATCTTTATGAAGTAACAGTAAACCTGGAATGATTGTGACCAGTTATACTAACACTCTGGATAAAGAAAATCAAAAGCACAGTCATATTTTCAAAAGCACATCAATCAGTCTAGTTTGGTTTATTTCAGCCGTGCATCTAATAACATAAGGGTAGTGATTGTATTCAAAAAGTAAAAAAAAAAAAGGGTTTTGTGATGGAAAACAAGTTCATTGAGGAATACCTGACATTCTAAGTGACAAAATTAATTTACTGCAAAGATATACAAAGTAAAAAGTAACATTAATCAACCAACAGCCCCCTCAATAGCAGCTTTTCACAGAAATAAGCCTCCCTATACATAATTAATATATGGACACAGTAATGCAGAAATAAATGAAGAAATGTAGAAATAAACAAATACATGTAGAAATACATTAGTATCCATTTTCATCACCGAACTGTATTTATAGATCCATATTTTATTTATTTTAAATGTTGCCAGTTTCAGTTCTCCTCAGTTTACGACAGGAGAAAAAAAATACAGAAAACAACCATGTGGAAATTTTGTATTAAAATGCGCTTTAAATAAAACAACAGAAGACAGTAGGAGAAAAATAAAAAGCAAAGCCATGTCACGCTGCAACAAGAAAGGTTGATCAAACCAGTTGCCTCTAACTCTGGGTTTTTGCTGCCACAGTCTGGCTTGATCTGGTCTGACCCGTAATCTGCGGCGGACAACATGAGCTCATGTCAGCAAACCTTAGGTCAATATTACTCAGTCTGTCGCTGGCATCAGTGAGTTAATGTGACTTCACGGCAATGCATCATTTGCTTTTATTGTGTAACTGTCACATATGGCTGCTGTTACGCTCAATTGACATAAGCTCGCTTCTCTGCCAAAGGTTTTGATAGTCTACAGAGCGAAAGCTAAAGGTCATTTGCATAGTTCACGGCCTGTTTTCCAGGTCAGAGCAGAGGAGGAGGAGTTTGCTGCAGGAGGTTGAAACCAGCTTTGTTTGACCCTGTAAAGTCGGTTTTCTTATCTGCCCCTGCTGCTTGCGTCTGTTCTCCACCCTTAATATCTCTCTGCAATGCACAGCTTCCATTTGTTGGCAGCTGCGAAAAGACAGCTTTTACTGTTTATTTCCTTGCAAGGATGTGAAGCCCGGCCACCTGTCGAGAAGTGACCATTTCCTCCCAGAGTGAACCAGGCTGTTAGGACATTAGTGCAAGCGACTAAAAGATTAAACGTCGGCTGGAGGAATAGTTCCTTTTTACCTTCTTTTTGTCCTTCCCAGAGTTAGATGAGAAATTAAGAACACACTGGCAAGAGAAGGCAGTTATCTTAGCATAGATTATAGGAGAAACAGTTAGTTTAGCTCTGAGAAAGTCTTTATGCTAAACTAAACAAATGGTCTCATAGCTTCAATTCTTGAGGACGGACATGAGAGTAATATCGACCCTCATCTAACTCTCAAACTCTTCTTTAAGAGGCAACATGTTTGTTTAAGCTGGGGGATGTTCCTACATCATCTGCTGGAATCAATATTACAAAATACAAAAAATCTCTGGATACCCACAAGTTTAGTTTGACTAATGTGAACTTTCTCTTGCTAATCACAAGGTAGTTACAGAGGAGATATCTTAAGTTTATATCGGGATATATATATATATTATATGATTTCAGGGCTTTAATATAATTATGTGAAATGATCCAGTTATCTAATGAGCACCTGTAGGCAGCTTGTTTTTCTCACAGTCTTATCAACAGGTTGATTTCCACACTCACGCCTCTTATCGCTTTGTTGTCTGCTCCTGCTCCATTTGGTCAGGTTTATGGCCCACTCTTACATCCCCGTCTGCTCTGAAAATACTGTTATGACTCAGCTCCGAGTGTTTGTGTCTCCACAGGACCCTGATCCAAGGCGATAAGAAAGCTGGTTTCACTGTGTTCTGGGCCGACGATGGATTGGACACTGGACCTATCCTGCTGCAGAAGGAGTGTGCAGTCGAGCCCAATGACACCGTTGACACACTATACAACCGTTTCCTCTACCCAGATGGCATCAAGGCTATGGTAACCACAATCACATGGAATATTCATTTCTATTATATAAGAAATATAGTGTATTAACAGCTTAAATTAATGAAGATCATACTGTTCTTCAAATAAATAAATCCATGAATCATCTGTTACCTGTTATCAGTCCTTTCTTGACTATAATGGCCAGTTCCCAGACTTGGCCTCCTCTGCTAAAAACCAAGTCATATATTTTCATAAAGTCCACAGTTTGTGCTTGCACCACTGACAGAGATGCCATTCTGTGCTCTAGGTGGATTCAGTTCAGCTCATCGCTGATGGAAAGGCACCTCGAGTTCCCCAGACAGAGGAAGGAGCCAGCTACGAAGGCATTCAGAAGAAGTCCAACGCCAAGGTGAGAAGTCTCATGCTTCTCCCTTTTCTCCCTATAAACACACACACACACAAACCGACACACTTCCTCCACATACCCTACTAACACAGACACTTTTTAAATATCACTGCATTCATCATTGTGACTATTTATATTATTGCTGTATGTATGCCCATTAAGTCTTCTATCTAATTTTCTGTTTGTTTATCAGTTTATTGGTTTCTGCTTACACCTTTTCACTGAAAGATAACGTCTGACAGAGATGGAGATGACTTTGTAATGATAGAGGTATTATCATAGTTGTAATAATAATAATAGTATATATTTAATCCATAATAATCTCAGCAGTTGATCTTCCTCGGTTCTTCATCTGCTCGTCTCCAGATGGTTGTTTCAAACTGTGTTCAGTTTATCATGGGAGTTCTCTCAGCTGCCTCGGCAGACAGCTGGACATTGTGCTGGACAGCGCTTTCTAAAAACAGGTGCAGAGTGAAGTTATAAAACCTTGTGTTCATCCTAACTGGTATACGTGCAATTAATAATCAATGTTTTTCATGTAATTTAACTAAATTTACTTTATTAATGTTCATGTCTTAAGCAAAATTAATGTTGTGCTTTTACTTTGAAGACTAATCGCCAAAAAAAGGAGGTGATTCTATGAATGTTGTTGCCATGCAAGGAGATCAGCACCAGGGAGACTGGCTGTATCAGTTTGATGTGGTGAAATGAACATTTTCAAATAATCAGAATGACCTGGCGTCAATTTTCTCTCGCAGTTTGATCCAGTTGTTGACCACTGCTGTGGTTAACCCGAGAATGTAGAAGAGGACATGTTCATGTGTGTGCAAAGTGCAAAGCTGATAAGATGAAAAGTTTCGTGATATATGCATTGCACATACAGACAGACTAACAGACGCTTGTGGAATAAGTAGGTAGAAGTATATAGTATATGTGATTTAATTTCTTTTCATTCAGTAACTATATTATACCGGAGATTGATTCTCAGTCTGTAGTGTTCATATCACCAGTGTCAGTAACAGCATTCGCCTTCATCTCAGATAACACAACAGACTGTCCTGCACCTTCAATAACACAAACAATATTTGTGTTTCTCAGTTAGCTAATGCATATCCATATCAACCCTATGTCACCCCTGATGTATTGCTGTGTATCATGCCTTTTCTCATTTTTTCAAATTTTCCAATGTATTTCTCTCTCTGAAATCAGTTGGTATTTCTACAGTGAAAGAGACACAGCTGCCCAGGAGCACACCACTGTCATTAAATCAGCAGCATGGACATTTTCTGTTAGCTCAACATGTTGCCCAGAGCCAAGTATGTGAGCAAGTGACGGGCATTAATCTTACAAGTAGATCTCAGCTGCTCTCAGGTTTTTCACTGGCTGTGTCTAAATGTTCTATTTTTAGCGCACAGGATTATTTAACACCATGGATTTTCCACGTGTCGCTCAGCTAGTGGCAGCCAGCGGTTGGGTTTCCTTCTCCCTCTCAGAAATTAAGTTGCCCTGGTCTGAAAGTGCTAACGCGTCAACATGTTGACTCTGTCTTCTTCTTGTCCCACAGCTCAACCTGGCCCAGCCAGCTGAAACCATCCACAACTGGATCCGCGGACATGACAAAGTCCCTGGCGCCTGGACTGTCATCGGTGGTCAGGTGTGTTTCCTGGAACTCACAAGCAAAGGCAAAAGGACACTAAGTGTCTATTGCAAAGTTTAACTGACAGATTAACAGCTGACATTTAGCTCCTGGAACTACAGTGCTCACATTGCTCAAAGTGTTCACAGTTTTGGCATTAAATTGTTCTGGCTTCTTAAATTTGTGTCACTGATTCTCAGTGTGTTATCAATAAATAGTTTATAACTGCCAACGATAAAAGAAATCCATTATTTTCCATAGAAGTGGTATTTTAAGATCTTTAAACAGACCGATAAACATCTTATAAGTCTCTTAAAAAGTAAATCTAAGATAAAAGTTAGTTTGGCATTCATTGACCGCACAATAATAAAAGTCAAGAAACAAGTCTCAATGCATCCTTAATTTAATTAAATATCCGATTGTGTTCTTCCTCAGTCTGTGACCCTGTATGGCTCGTCTATGTTAGGGGGGGCGGTACCAGCTGGTCAGCCCCTGGAGATCGACGGAGCATCCCAGCCTGGCGTGGTCACCAAGAACGGGCTTGTCCTGTATGGAACCGATGGGAAAGCGGTGAGTGTCTTTGCAGTTTGTCACCGCTCCCCTTGTCTTGTCGCTGCACTACATCCACTCTGCGTTTGGTCCTCAGCTCCTGGTGAAGAGCCTGCAGTTTGAAGACGGGAAGATGATCCATGCGTCCAAATACTTCTCTTCTGGAGACAGTGCCAGTGTGGAGCTGACCGATGACGAGAGGAAGATGGCAGAGGAGATCAAGGCAAGTAAACCATGATTATCTCTAACCCAGAGTTGGACTTTGACTGTAACATCTCTCTGCTTAAGGAACTAAAGCATTGGTGGATACTGTGTGAAATGTATCTTTTTAACCACAGAACATTTGGAAGGGTATCCTCAGCAACGTCTCAGCCATCGAGGACACCACAGACTTCTTCAAGTCTGGAGCTGCCTCCATGGATGTGGTCAGGTGAGGGAGGCAGACTCTACAGTTTTTCCTGACATTGCACATGAAATGAAGTCATATATTTTAATGCAAATCTAAATTTTTTTATTTTCAAGTGTCATTTGAACTGAAGTCTTACTTAAAGGTTCAGTGGAAGTTACAGGAGCTACAAGGCAGCTATTTCTCACTGTATGTCACCAGAATTTATTGTTCTGTACATTCATTACCATAGGTATCCGACATTTGAAATCCATCCAAAAGTCCATAACATTAGAGTGGAACCACAACACCTGTATGACATCCTTGGTATAATAATTATAATCACATTTTTTACATTTATTACTTATATTATAATAGATTTTTCAAGCTGAAAATACTGCAACAAGTGGGAGTGTGGCAGCCACACAGCAGTATCTGAGAGACTGTTGAGCTGACAACTCACAAAAAAAATAATTCCAGCATTAACTAGAATCAGCACTTCATGGTTGTGTGTCTCCACCAACCAGTCAAGTGTCAGCTTATATGAAGAAGAAGAAGAATGCCTTTATTGTCATTGAACAGGGTGTACAATAAAATTATAGAGCCACTCCTTCACAGTGCAAACATATAAGTACAAAAACACTAAAAAGTAAAAAAAATACATTATTTGAAATAGTGGAAATTGACAAAATGTACAAATATACATGTAACTATGTTCAAGTAGCTGTATTGCACAGTGGATGGGTGGGTATTGCACATGAATGAGTATTGCACAGCAGTGATTATGGCACAGTATTAAATATATTGCACATGTGGTAAAGAGTTTCACAGTATGCACAATATGATTTTTCAAGGAAGTTGACCTATGACCTTATGATCAGATATCTTATCTGCTAAATATTAACTGTCATTCTTCCTTGTTGTGTCCTTCCAGACATTTATGTCAATTTTGTCATAATCAGTGTGTGAATTCTGGAGTTATGGCCAGAAATGGGTTTGCTTGACTGACACTGAGTAGTTTTAAGCCTTAGTGAAGTGTTGGTGTGTTTCTGTCCAGGCTGGTGGAGGAGGTGAAGCAGAAATGTTCTGGTGTGCAGCTGCAGAACGAGGACGTGTACATGGCCTCTACCTTCCAGGACTTCATCCAGATGTTCGTCCGCAAGCTGAGAGGAGAGGACCAGGAGGAGGAACTGATTATCGACTATGTGAGTCTGAACACCACTTGTTGTCGTGTCAGTATCCCTTGCACATTCCACATTCCCCGTCAGTCACTTATAATAATAATAATAATAATAATATATACTAAGTAAATAACTAAGTAAGTCTGAGTTGATAAGGTAGGTGACACCTGTGTCCCCTGTTGTTCGGGAGGTAGAGTGAGTTGTAATTCTGTTTATCTAATACATCTACTCTGAAGGTTGGTGGTTTGACACCTCCAGTCTGCATTCTGAAATGTCCTTGGAGATAATGAACCCCAAACTGCTGTGCCGACAGTGAGTGTATGGTGTGATACAAATAATCGCTGCGTAGAGAAGTACTGTGTGAATATGTACGTGAATGTGTGAGAGGAATTTGTCCATTAAAGTGCTTTGATAGTATTGGAAAACATGTGCCTCAAAGGAGTCTAGCTGCTTGATGTTTGAACTATTTGAGGTCTATGAATAGTTTTTTTGGAAATGCCATTTATATTACAGTAATATAAACATGAGGAAATGAAAGCACGTATGATGCTTTCTGTGTCTGAAGCTCAATGATTTCATGATTAGACCGGACTGTAGTACGGACTTGGATCTTAAAATGGGATTTTGAATCAAATACACCAGATTCCTGATGGAAGACTTAGTGTTGACTCTAAAAGGATTTGTATTCTATGTGCACATTGTCAGGATCTCACTTTTATCGGGATTTAACTGAAGGAAGTTTGCACACATTCAGTTTTTATTGTAAATTAGACCTTCTTATGGCGTACAAGCTAGTTGGCTTTTATTAGGACATATTTCTGTATTATCAGCATAAGGATTGTAGTTAATATCACACCTATGAATTATCTCATCTAGTGGGAGAATATAAAAATTGGAGCCCTGTTGAACCCCAAAATGAAATCTGGTCACCAATAGAAACAAAACATTTGTTGTTAGAAGGAGATTGGCCAATAATAGATAGGAATAACAGAAAGATAATCTACATTGTAAGTGACACATGTTCTAATTGTATTCTGCATTGTACCCAGGCAACCAAAGACGTGAACAACATGACAGTGAAAATGCCGCACCAGTGCTTTATCAACGGAAAGTTTGAAGATGCGGAAAACGGGAAGTCCTACAACACCATCAATCCTACTGATGGATCTGTGAGTGAGCTCAGTGAATCCACGCACACACACACACCAAGATGCTCCTGACGAGCAGTCTGATGCAGAGGCTGACCATCATGTGACCGTCATGTCCTTCACCCAGGTGATCTGTAAAGTGTCTTATGCCTCAGTGGGGGATGTGGACCGGGCAGTGGTGGCAGCGAAAGAAGCTTATGATAACGGGCCTTGGGGCAGGATGAACCCTAGAGACAGAGGAAGTCTGCTTTACAAGTAAGTATAGCTCCAACTAGAGGACAGCAGTGAGACTCTCAAGAACTTCATGCTTCATCATTAAAAACAAAACGATTGAAACTGTTACGTGGTGCATTATGAGGTCACAAATGAATTTTACATGTTAAATACAATATGACATGAGTAATGGGGGTTTTCAAATAAGGGGAGTAAGATAAATGGTCTGTATTCATATAGTGTGTTTCTCAAAGCACTTTACAGTACAGTTTATTGCCAGAGCTAATTGCATCCAGCTTGGTGCCACCTTACACTAGTTGTAAAATCAGGTGGTATCAGCTGACACCAGATGATTAAACCACTCAAGTTGCAGCTCACAGTGTAACATTACATTTAAAAATCCCCCTCACACCCTGTGGCCTCTGACCTCCTCCCTCAAGGCTTGCAGACTTGATGGAGGAACACCAGGAGGAGCTGGCCACCATCGAGTCCATCGACTCAGGGGCTGTGTACACGCTGGCCCTCAAGACCCACGTCGGCATGTCCATCCAGACCTTCCGCTACTTTGCCGGCTGGTGTGACAAGATCCAGGTGGGTTAATGTTCAACAAGTGTTTTTCGCGTTCGCACAATTTGACAGTATGACAATGATCAATGATGACACACAGAGACTCCTGTTTGTTTCAGGGCAAGACGATCCCCATCAACCAGGCCAGGCCCAACCGCAATCTGACCTTCACCAAGAGAGAACCTCTCGGGTAAACCCACCTATCTATAAATCTGGATTCATTTACTTATATGCTGGGAGTTCTGTGTTTACTGGAAGCGGAACTGTCTGTGTTTCTTCCGTGACAGCGTGTGTGCCATTGTCATCCCATGGAACTACCCTCTGATGATGCTGGCGTGGAAGAGTGCCGCCTGCCTCGCAGCTGGAAACACACTCGTGCTCAAACCAGCACAGGCGAGTCCACCATGTAAAACACAGTTCAGAATCCACATGCGCACAGATGGGAAAGTTTCACCGTGGAAATCATACAATGTGCGGATTCTGAGGGTTTCGTATCTTCTCATATTTTCAGGTCACTCCACTGACAGCACTGAAGTTCGCTGAGCTGTCAGTGAAAGCTGGAATTCCTAAAGGAGTCATCAACATTTTGCCAGGCTCAGGTAACACATATGCATTACCATCTGTTATTTATCCTTGATGTCATTAAGTCAAGGAAACAGCAGAGAGAATGTTAGAAAAGATTTCCCTTCTCACTTTGTCAGTCAGTTGGGCACAAAGAGGCAAAACAGTCACTGTATTAACTTTTATGTTTGGAATGGAATAATCTTCTCATATATTATAAATGCACAATTTAAAGAATAATAAATTCCACGTGCAGATCAAACCAACAGTGAACGTCTCAGTGACACTGTGTGTGTGTCCACAGCCTTTGTTTATCTGAGGCTAAGAGCTCCACTGTTTCCACACAACACGTCAGTGACTTTCACTGTTGCACTGGGTGACACGTTGATTCATCACCGTGTCCATGGTGAATCAACACTGTAGTTTATATTCACTCAGTCCTGCTCCCCAAAATGTTACATCACCAAATATGTAGTAATCCCCTGCTGAAAATAGTCCCCCAACAAATCCAGGATTCTCTGCAGTTTGTAAAGCTGCTCACAGACATGTCTCTAAAGGGGCTAAATGTGAGAAACCCAATGATGTGGATATTCTCCAGAGTTCATGTCTAAAAATGGCAATAAGCAAAATATATGTTTTTGTGGTTTTTGTGAAGACTACCATCTTCTGTAGGAGACAGTCGGCTCGGAGCTGAGAGTCTCTGACAGTCAGGAAGTGTTGCTGGTTGTGTTTAGCTGATGTTCACTTTCTGTGACATTTATATGTTGACTATATAAACATACATTGTAGGCTGGTAGAAACAGAAGAAGTGTTTTCATACTTCTGACTCATCTTCCTAACACACCCTCCTAATCCCCTTCTTTCGTCCAGGTGGCATGGTGGGACAGCGTCTGTCCGATCACCCAGACATCCGCAAGCTGGGCTTCACCGGCTCCACGCCTATCGGCAAACAGATCATGAAGAGGTACAACCTAACTAACTCATTGCTTTGTGAGCTGAGGTGAGTGTTCCATCATTTTTCATGCCCCATCTGTGATCTCTTGCTGCAGCTGTGCGCTCAGTAACCTGAAGAAGGTTTCACTGGAGCTGGGAGGGAAGTCGCCTCTCATCATCTTCAGTGACTGTGACATGGACAAGGCTGTTCGCATGGTGAGAGAGCTCTGCTGTCAAAGAGGGGGCGGGGGAGGAATACAAATATCCATACTAACATGCACCTTTTGGTACTTAAAGGTCCAGTGTGTAAGATTTAGGTGAAAGGGATCTATTGGCAGAAATGTAATGTAGAATAATCCTCATGATGTTTTCACTAGTTCATTTCATCTAAACTGTATGAACTGTAGTTTTCTTTACCCAGAAAAGACCCTTTATATTTAAATACTTTATATTTACATAGAGGGGACCCTCTCTACAGAGGCCGCCATGTTTTTTACATTAGTCCAGACTGGAGAAACTAAACACCTTTTGAGTTTTTATGACAACTGAAGCTACTACAGGTTCTTTTTCATGTTTGGAATGAGAGGGTGAGGTGAGGGGTGTTCAGCTGCGACATGCAATTTCAACACTAGATTCTACACACTGTACCTATAAGGCCACTATACAGAGTTAAAAAAGGACAGTAAGTAATAGTAGAAATGCCTGCTGGGATAATAACTAAACCAGTGGTTTTAAAGCCTTTGTCACATTACATTACATTTCCACTTGGAAGTGGCCTTGGATAGTTCTAAGCGCATCAACCATGAGGGAACAAACCCAGAACAACAAGAATGCATTTGCTTCAAAAAGCCAAAGTGCAACATGTAAGTGAAACAAATTCCCTTTTTTCATTGAGGAGCTTTGTAGTGTGCTCCTCAGAGATCAGGCATTGCCGATCCCTGCTCAGAGAGAATTCCAGGGTTTGGGGCTGCCACACCTAGCTGCTTTCTTACATGCAATCACATCCTTCAAGAAAAGAGTTTGTTGTGATAAGAGCCGACGTCCGTGTTGATGCGCTGTTAAGAAAATCATGTGATCTCCGCAGCGGAATGAATATGTCACATCCTGCTTCTGTCTGCTGCACCACTCCTCACCTGAATCCTGCAGTGGATTTGTTGCTGTTCTGAACACGTCTATGCAGTAAATCTGCCGCTATGTTGTTCATGTGTGAAAGGCAAACTGCAGAGAAAGTCCAGATCAGTCGGGACATCCACATCTATAATCACATGAGCAAACTGGGGGGCAAATATCATGCAGTTAATTCTGTGTGTGTGTGTGTTTGTGTGTTGCTTCTCAGGGAATGAGCTCTGTGTTTTTCAACAAAGGCGAGAACTGCATTGCCGCTGGACGTCTGTTTGTGGAGGAGTCCATACACGATGAGTACATCAGCCGAGTGGTGAGTGAGACACCGCCTCCTCTGGGAATAATGCAGCACACGCACACTCAGACACATTCACCATGATGCTGTCTTATTGTGTCAGTTTGAGCTGAAGAAACATTACTGGCTATCTGTCGTCCCTCGAAGGTGGAGGAGATCAAGAAGATGAAGATCGGAGACCCTCTGGATCGCTCTACAGACCACGGCCCACAGAATCACAAAGCCCACATGGACAAGCTGCTGGAGTACTGCGACATCGGAGTGAAGGAGGGGGCCACGCTGGTGTACGGGGGCAGACAGGTGGACAGACCAGGTGGGACAAACACAGAGCCTCTGGGAGTCAGTGTCAGAAATCAAACACGAATCACTGTGAAATGTTTGATTCCCTATATGGTGCACTTATCGTTTCCCATAATGCATCATGAAAAATAGTGTACAACTGCTGGTCACTAACCAAGCAATATATACCATCATCCATTGCACTCATGGTGGAGAGACGGGGGGAATATAAATAAATACCAGCATATGTTTTAAGAAGTTGAGACAAAGACGGGCTTGCAGCTGATTAGCGTTCAACGTACATTCACTTTTATTTGAATGCAGTTGACAAAATATATTAATTGTAGAATGATATTTAACAGGAGAGTTAGCACTAACATCATTCTAAAAGTAAAAAATAATGTAAGCAAACTAAAACATTGTGGTAAAATGATATGTATCACAATGTTTGAACAGTGAAGTGATGTTTTCTGTATCCTCTGCATTAAGACCATGTTTTACATGTATAAAAGTACACCCTATAACCACACAGTGTATTCAAATGAGGCATAAGCGGCACTAATATTCTGAATTAGCCCTCAGCAGAGCAGTTTGACAATGATCTAAGGTAACATAGAATTATTATTGCTACCAAAAGAAGAGATTGTTGATGAATACATTTAGTGTAAATATGCATTTTTTGCATATTTTGGACCAATGTCACAACAATATTTGTAATAACTCAACACAGGCTGCTGTTGTTCACAGTACAGTCAAGAAGATAAGGAAAATAAATACACTCACTGATGTCGGACAGTGTAAAGCTGTTCACATTAAAATCGTTGTACAATTGTAGACAGATCAGTGTCACCGCAGAGAGTCGGATTTTTCACATTGTTATTTTCACCGACATAAAACACACGTGTTTATTTCCTCTGTCCATCAGAGTGTGTTATGTCTGCAGAGACTCCTGCAGTTTAAACTGGACAAATCAAACACTGAAGGCTTAACTCTAATACTCAGTATAGATGGACTCACTTGCCTAGCAACATAATAATGCTACATATAACCTATAATGCAAGACTGTAAAACACCCTACGTCACTCCATTCAAAAAGATGATATATTGTTATTAATAAACATGTTATTCTTTCGCTAATATCCGGACCACCACGGTTTCCTTTCTCTGAACACAGAGAAGCTTCTCTGGCTCCACTCATCTTCTGTCGGCATCAGTTGATCATTTTTACCATATTATTTCCCCGCAGGTTTTTTCATGGAGCCCACAGTGTTCACTGACGTAGAGGACCACATGTTCATGGCCAAAGAGGAATCCTTTGGCCCCATCATGGTGGTGTCCAAATTCAAAGACGGGTAAGACAAGAACAGAGCGTCTGGCTGTGGTGTTGTCGTACAATTACATTCGCCGACTGCATTCTCTGTCCTCTTCGTTCTAATCGCAGTGACGTGGACGACGTGCTGCAGAGAGCCAACGACACGGAGTACGGCCTAGCGTCTGGCGTGTTCACTCGTGACATCAACAAGGCCATGTACGTGAGCGAGCGGCTGGATGCTGGAACAGTATTCGTCAACACCTACAACAAGACCGATGTGGCTTCGCCTTTCGGAGGCTTCAAGCAGTCCGGCTTCGGCAAAGACCTCGGTGAGACACGGGGGTCGGGTCGTCCGCTGGTGCTGTTGTCCACTGCTCTTTGAAACTATGTCGGTCAACCAGTCTGACTGATAAACGTTTGTCTGTCTTGTCCACAGGAGAAGACGCTCTCATGGAATACCTCAAGACCAAAGCAATAACTGTGGAGTATTAAGCTTCTGCCAGCGAACTCTGACTCACATCTGGAGAGGAAGGGACACATCTGTCTGCTTCACTTCCAGCATCATTCAGTATTGCTTTGTGGACATTGTGTGTGTGTGTGAGAGGGTGTACTGTGCGAGTGAGAGGAGTGCGTGGACAGTTTGGACAATGTGCCTGTCTTTCCTCAGCTGTCTGTGTGAAATTCACATAATGGATCATAGACATGCCAGAATATATCCACATAAAAACCGTAAAAGCCTGAGCTGGACGCTGCGTCGCAGAGCTGAGGAGCCTCTGACTTAATGTCAACGTTTTAGTTCCAGAACACACTCACACATTTCCGCCAAGTTTTTTTTAGAATTTGAAAATCAGAAAAAATACAATATCTCGTCTTTTACTCTTTGGAAACAGACGTGGTTCACGGATAGACTGACGAACCATGAATGTCGTCCTGTTGAAAGCTCAGAGTGAATGTGCAGGCATCAAGTGCTCACGCAGGACTTCAGGCAAGCTACATAACCATAGCAAGTAAACCAAAAAGGAACTGAGTGGTGAAACTACTATCATAAAACTACCAGTGCTCTGGACAGAAGAGATCCTCCACGATGGGAAAGCAAGGCTCGAGCTAAAGCTGAATCCATGACCCACAACTGTTGACTGTTAAATCGTCTTGGCTCATAGTTGACTCACTAGCTTTTTTTGTTTTCAAAGCTTTGGACTCCGCCATCAGTTCATTGTTAAATGTGACCAAACGTTTGTTAAAAAGCCAGTAAGTGGACTTTGAGTCAAGAGTACGATTCAAAACCACACATCAACACCGACATGCTGGAGAACACCGTCACATTTCATGGTTCCGCTGCTCTTACTGTAACTTTAACAGGACTCCTATCAGTTCTGTTTATTTTTTAAGATATATATATATATAAAATAAATCTCCCCAACTTCCACTACTTTTACTTTGGTAGTTTGACTGAAGCCCATAAATCACTAAATCTGCCCCACTCTGAAACTCACGGTTACTTTTAATCATTTACTCATATTTTTTATAAATTAGTGGACTGCATGTGTTGCCTCCAGGCTGCTAGCATATATAACAACGACAGTTGAACTACGAGCTTGACACACACAAAAAAAAAATTGCTCGTCCGTCGTCGTCTGACTGAAGTGAGACTGAAAACTCCAGTGAAGTACAACGACACTTTGTAAAGGTGCAGTCTGTCCCTGTGTGTATGTTGCACAGTACTGCGGTGTATGGGAGACAGTGTTCACATGACATGTATAATTTTATGTAGCGATGACTAATAGGAAATGTGTTTTAATAGATTCTCCAGTACAGAGAGCGAAACATACATTGGAGCTAATCGGTCTTGTATAATTTAGCAGTGGGACCCGTTTAACACCTGGGTTCAGTTCTCAACTCACATTTCTATAGTCAATATAATATAACACTTACACAGTAGGAATGATTTTTGGCATTGTGACTCACTGAGCAAAGTCTTAAATATTTAAAACTGACTTGACAACAGACCCTCTTTTTTAGACTGATTTCCTACCCTGATTTCCCACCATGTCTGCCCACAGATTAGTTTAACCTTTAGGTGAAGACTTCTCCAAAGTTCCGTGATAAACAAAATGTATTTGTCTCATTAGGGGTATTTGAATCCGCAAATCTAATTTTCACGTCATTCATAAAATGCATGTACAGACAAATGCATATGATGGTTTGCATTTAATCTCTGCCACTTATTTACACCATGTCCCTGCAACTGTCTGTTCCCACATCCTCGACTTTAAACATTCATTTCTTCCATTTGTCAAATTTGACGTTTTGTAAATATTTTTTAACAAAAACAGGAAAAAGAACTATCAGATATATTTTTGACATTGTATTTGTCAGACAGAGGAACACTATATGTTATAACACTATAATATATTCACTAGTAACCTAGATGTTTCTATGCATCGCTAATTTGAAGTTTCTACTTTCCCTATATTGTCAGTGAACAGCAAGGGCTACAGGAGTGTTTTCTCTTTCAGTCTCCTATCCTCCAATGAATAGTCAGATTTTAGCCAATGAAATTCAATTAGACTTTTCTGTGTAATGCTGCTGTTACATGAAAAACAAACTCACATTCTATATTGACACTGCTCTGTTCAGAACTGCTGGTCTTATTCAGTATTTGCTGTTATGTGAGATCCTTGTTTACAGTGTGTTCTGGGAAATACATGTACATGTATACTGGTAATGCTATTGTAGCATTATGACAGAATTTGATATGCACATGTCAAAGAGGGCACCAGCTCCCATTGGAGCAAATTGACACAATTAAATTGATCTGTCTCATCTAAGAAGCTGTGACTGGATATGTTCTCATTCTCAAAGACTATTTTTCTACTAACGGGGATAACCGCGATGGCATTGAACAATCTCACGGTGAAGAAAGGAGCAATGTCGTCAGTTGTAAATTCTGACAAAATATGTTAAGGTAGGGTTGTGTGCTCATCGATTTTAAGACTTGTGTGAGTGCACAAGCTTGGATCAGAGTGACTGAGCTGACTCTAACCCAGAGGAGAAGTTAGTGAGCTGGAAACCTGGAATCTCCTGTAGAGGTTCTGCCTGCAGGATTAACATCTGCCAGCAGGTTTACCTTTTGAGCAGCTTTCTTGTTCAGGCAAACAGCATGAGCATTTGTGATATGTTGTTGGCAAAACAAGGCTACTGCCCCCTACACATTCTCCAGGCCCCTTATGTCCACTGGTCAATCAAGTGTTCCCGGTCTTTCTCGCCTCTTTCCTCCCCCTCCCCACTATCCCTCTCTCTTCTCTCCCCTCTTTTCCACCCAACTCTCCTCCTCCCCTTTTTCTTTGCTCACCCCAACCAGTCGAGGCAGATGACCTCTCACATTGAGCCTGGTTCTGCTAGAGGTTTCTCCCTGTTAATGAGGGAGTTTTCCTCTCTACAGTCTCCAAAGTGCCGCTCATTGTGGGAACTGTTTAGTTTCTCTATATTAGTACGCTTCTAAGGTCCTGACCTTCTTTTTAAAGTGCACAAAACCCCCATTCTCTAAACAACACTGTCAACCGGCAAAGAGTGTTTCTCTTATCAGTCACATAGTTGGCCAAACTGTAAACACTTGTTCATCTGGTTAGACATGTTGCCTTTTCTCAATGTTGGCCTTCCACCATATTCTCTCTCCCTTAACCCTAGAGAAGCTTTTTTTCTCATCGTGGCGGTGGAAAGTGTATGATTGAAACCCTGACGCTCAAGAAAATCTCCTCCAGTTTTTACATGTTTCGTAAATGAAGGAACGTGTAAATATCCTTCAGTAAATATTTTCCGAATTTTTCAGGGAAAGATTTGTTGTTCCATATTTATTCATGTAGTGTGTAATGATTGCTGAGTAGTGTTTATGCATTAGCTGATGCAGTTTTTTGGTTTTGGGGTAAAGATTAAGTTGTTTGATTTTGCTAACAAGTCAAAGGTTTTGTGAGCGTAGCTTGAATTTTTGTGTTTTACTGTTTTGAGAAAAGGAGAGAACGTTTCAGGAAACGCATTTTAGCAATTCAGAAAAACTGAAATAAAGGCTTTTTGTCTTCCCTGAATATTAAGTTATTCGTTCTTGAATATTCACCTGATATTCAATAACAATACAATACGTAATGTTACAAATAGTAAGTATGTAAACCATAGAATATGCTATCTATATTGTTTTATTTATTCATATCCTGTTATGTTTATACATATTCTTTTTAATAAAATAATCATTGTGTATTAGTTATCTGTAATTCATAATTATGATTCATCTGTTCTATTAAACAGCCTTTGTATAAAGGCTTTACCTTTAAGCTTTTTGACAAAGATAAATGAGTGATCGCAATCACTAAGATAAGTTTCCACTGTGGAAAAAAAGACTTGTTAAACTTGTTAAAATTTTCTTAATTAAATGAAAAGACACTGTGACTCCTTATAAATGGGACATTTAATACAAAAAATACAGAGATTTTTCTAATACAAAAGTGTGCATCATTTAGTTTATGAACTCCGCACAAGTTTCATTTTGATGGTTTCTCCTGTGTAATCTGATTTTCACTCCTTTCTTCCAAATGTGGCTCATCACTTCATCCATAAAAAACTGAATCCTCTCCCACACGTTTTAAAAAAACACAATATGTTGCTGTGCTGAATGTGCTCAACTGAGACACGTCGAAGTCAGATAGCTCCCCCGCATGTTCAATAAGTATTCAGCTTTCATCTGAATGAATTTGATTGTGCTTTCGCAACGACCTCGAACAACTGAAGCTTCTTCCACATGTCTCACATCCATAGGGTTTCTCACCTGTGTGGGTTCTCATGTGGTTTTTTAAAATGCCATTTTGTCTAAACGCTCTCCCACAAGTCTTGCAGGTATATGGCTTCTCACCCGTGTGGATTTTAAAATGCTTGTTCAAACTTGTTTTCTGATTGAATCTTTTCCCGCAAATGTTGCAGGTGTACGGTTTTTCGCCCGTGTGGATTCTCAAGTGGAGCAACAAGTCCGTCTTGATTCTGAAACTTTTCCCACAGATTTCACAGGTGAATGGCCTCTCGCCTGTATGAATTCTTAGATGAACATTCAATGTTGGTATGTCAGTGAAACCTTTACCACAGGTCTGGCAAGGGTACGGCCTCTCACCCGTGTGCGTTCTCTGATGTACAGTTAACCAGGACTTGAACTTAAACATTTTTCCACAAATGTCACATATTAAAGACTGTTTACTTGTGTGAGTGTTACTGTGACTCTTTGTTGGGAAAGAGTTGTCTACACTGTCACTGTGACTTGTGTTATTGTAAAGTGTCTTCTTTCCCTTGATTCTCTCTGACTCTTCATCTCTAGTTGATCCTGGGTCCACATCACTGCTTCCTCTCAGATCCTGGTCCTCAGCTACAGGAGAGATGTGAGAGAGGAGCTGGTCACGGTTTGATTCTCGTTCACTGTGGCCGACTTCCTCGTTACCAGGAGTCAACGCAAAGGTAACGCTCTCCTGCTTCAGGACGAGCTGCTCTCCCTCCCGACTGGTGCATAGTTCCTCCTGTTCGTCTTTAACCTGTGATGGCTGTAGCTCCTCTTGGTCAAGACTGGGGCTCCTCTCCTGGCCACAGAGCAGCTGTTCAGTGAGAACCTCCTCCTCCTCCTTACAGTCATGTTGCTCTGGGAGCTCTGGAGGAACAAAGAGACACAATAAATAGGTCGTTAATTTAATGATGGAGAAAACAAATCTAAACCAGGATTTTTTTATGAGTCCTGTTCCTTGTACACATCTGTCTTGTGCTGCTTCAGCTCAGATTTCCAAACAATATCCAGTATAGCCTTTATACAGAGACTACCAGCTGTCAATCATGATGTTTCACCCCAGTTTTATAGCATCAAGTAAATAATGTAAGTCACTTGGACGTACATGAGCATGATACAAACAATTCGATGACAGAAACCATCTTTGAGTAAATGTATTTAACCTGTAATTTGAGTTTGGTCCATCCCCCACCTATTAACATGGAGGAGGCGGCATTTTTGATTATCGTGTGGGAATGTGACCGATTTTCCCGACAGTGGACCTTGATTGTTCTTACAAGGTTTGCAGTGCCTTCAAAAAATATTTTACATCCAGACTTGTGGACAACCTATTTGTTTACTATTTTATTATAACGTATCGCAAATCCCTTCGTTTTTTTAATACAGAATGTCTAAATCAATGTATTAGACAATTCACCGTAAACACATGAAACTAAGATAATTAAAACCATAGAGGTGTTGTGAAGGGCCCATCCCAGTGACAAGACAAATAAAAAGAAAGGTTTCATTAGGCTTCGTGAGCCCGTCAAGGATGTGAAACTCACCTTTAAAGCACTGACTGACAAACATGGAATGTTGCCGAGCGACTATTTTCTGTAGACAAACATATGAGGTTACTTACCCGTAGGTAGATTTGTTTTACAGCAAATCAAAAGGTCTCTAATATATCTACACTGCATTTATTACATTTATGTTTTCTTTATCATTTCCTACTGATCATGTTCACTCTGAGGTTTGAGAGAATCCACACTGGACATACAGACAAGAACTCATCCTTAAGATGAAAATCTCAAACTTGTCTTCATGAAGCTCAATGTGTTCACGTCCAATTGTTTACTTGTGTCACAATCCCTGATTGACATTTGAGCGAAATCAGTTTTCTGCTCGCACTCACTTGTCCTGTGAAGCTTCAGCTCAGGTTTCGAAACGATCTCCAACAATCTGCGCTGACGATCGATCTCTTTCTCGTACTCGAGGACAGTTCGTTCGAAGACTGTGAATATTTCTTCAGCAGCAGAAGTTAGTCGCTCACTGACAAACTCTCTCAAACACCGAACTGAAGCCATCGCTGTTCATCACCACCGACGCGTTTATCATCGTCTTGAGTTCCCCCACCACCCCGCCCCCTGCGTCCACACACCCACGCTGATATGTTTTCCGGTTTACACTTCCGCTGATTGGCTCGCTCTTTTTTTTCTTCTTCTGGTAGTTTATTGGCGGTTGGGCGAACCAGCTTATAGGCGCATTACCGCCACCATCTGGACAGGAGTGTGCAACAGTAGCTCGGCAGCAAAACCAAACAAAATAAAAACTAAGTCATTTTCCCAAGTCCTGTTTCTCTTAAATAGTCCATTAGAAGATGATGTATATTCCTTGATGTCTTTCCCAACATGTTTTTAATGTAAAAATGTTGCTTTTCATCTTTAAATCCTGATATTACTCCCTTCATTGTTCATTTTGGTTTTTTTGCATTGTTCGCAGTGTCCAGTTGGGTGCTTGTCTATTTTATGAAGTGTATCTTTTAATCCCGTTCGACCTTTTCTCAGACGGGTGATGACTTAATCTCCTCTGCCCCTCTAACCAGTTTGAATTCTGTGTAAATGACTTACTGAAATACTGTGTTGTTTAAATCCCATGTTTCGTGACTGTGTTCCATCATGACAGTTTTTTCTGCTTCGCTTAATGGTACCTGTATGTCGATTGACGATTCAACACTCTGTGATCTGAGGAGCACATGAACGATTTCATGGGCAACATCTTGTCTGCATGATGATTTCATTGACTTCATCGTGGCAATTGCAATGACGATCACATTGGCCTGGCCCCTTTCCTCTGCCCACTGCAATGCAAACAGAATACCCAGTAATTCAGCTGTATACACTTTATTTCTTATTTTAATTGCTTTACTACAATGTTCACTCCACCAAGACACTCTTCTTTTACTTTTTCCTCCTGTGCTCTTGGGAATAGTTTCTTCTGCTGACTGTAAAATAGCTTTCATCGATTTTTTTTACTCATTTCCTCCACATCTATTATATTCTCTCCTGCTGGTTGTTTTATTACGTCCGAAGAAGGACTCACCATTGACTTCAATTGTATTGGATTCTGCTCTTACAAAGTTTACCCCTGAGACTCCTTACGTGAGTAGACAATCAGTGAATTATCATTTCTGGGTGATCTATCCCTTTAAGTGCAACACCATTCTCTTAGCTTATTTTAGAGTGACAGTTGCTAACGCCCGGGCTATTTAAATAGTACTTGCACTTGTGTCTATTCATCGAAGCAGTGTGTTGTTCTTAAAATTAGGTCTGTTATGTGTGCATATATAGCCTCGTGCACTTTCACTATATTACATCCATTCTTACGATATGTATCTACCAAAACACAGTGTTACGTCCCCCCTCTTGTGTGGTGTATGTGTGTTCTGTTCTGTTCCTCTGTTTTCTCCCCAGGTGATCAGTCAATCAAGCCAACCTGTGTCCAATCATCCCACTGCCCCCGTCTGCCAATCAGAGGACGCCACCGCCACCTATATATGTGTGCTGTGTTTGTGTGTGAGCCCTTTAGAGAGGGAGAGGTGCTGTTCTTGGTTGGCTTGTTGGTCATCTGTGGTTTCTGTGTTGTTTGCTAGATGGTGGCGTGTTTGAGTACGGAGTTGTGTTGTTTCTGTATTCCTTGTTTGGTGGTCTGTACTCGGTGCAGTGTTTTTGTTCAGTTTTGCCTCACGCGCAGGGGAAAGGTGAACAGGTGAGACACCCATGGGTTTACATTTCCACCCAGTAGCCTTACACCTGTTACAATTCACTAGGTAAGGAGTAGGTGCCACACCATGTATTTATTATGAGTCGAGTAGCTTAGGATTCTGTTTCTGTGATAGCATAGTGTTGCTGCACGTTTTGATTTATGATTTCTTTGCTTGGGCACTGCTCATAGTTCCCTCGACCTTTTTATATAATAAATTATTGTTCCTTTTAACCGAACCTTGGTTTGTTTACTTGTGTTGCCACACCACACAACCTGCAGTGTTAGGCCCTTCGAATATCCCTAGACACTATACCATCAAAAGGGTCATAACAACAGGCACACCTGCCTTTCTAAAAGGGAAAGAGAGCTGGTGCTTCGATGATCATTATTTAAGTGATTAAAACTTTAAAACCTTGCACCTGCTGCAGCGGCCTTGTCCCAATATTAAATCAACAAAACTGAACTTGGTCAAAACCATGCACTTGCATCACACATTTTAGGAACATGAGTTTAAACAGAGCCTTTATTCTGAGTGCTCTCCCACACGTTTGATAGGTGTACAACTTTCACTCTTGCTTATATGCCTTTCCAAGTCTCGTTTACAAAATAATATTTTCCCACACGAGTTACACGGGTACGGCTTCTTCCCTGTGTGAATCTTTTCATGATTATTCCGCGACGTGTAACACACAAATGTTTTCCCGCAGGTGTTGCAGGGGTACGGCCTCTCTCCTGTGTGGATTCTCGTGTGGTGCAACAACATCGTGCTGGTTCTAAAAGCTTTCCCACATGTCTCACAGCCATAGGGTTTCTCACCTGTGTGGGTTCTCATGTGGTTTTTTAAGATGTGACTTTCTCTAAACGCTCTCCCACAAGTATTGCAAGAATATGGCTTCTCACCCGTGTGAATTTTTAAATGCTTGTTCAAACTTGTTTTCTGATTGAATCTTTTTCCACAGGTGTTGCAGGAGTATGGCTTCTCACCCGTGTGGATTTTCAAATGCTTGTTCAAACTTGTTTTCTGACTGAATCTTTTCCCACAGGTTTCACAAGTATATGGCCTCTCGCCTGTATGAGTTCTTAAATGAATGTTCAATGTTGGTATGTCAGTGAAACCTTTACCACAGGTCTGGCAAGGGTACGGCCTCTCACCCGTGTGCGTTCTCCGATGTATAATTAACCGGGACTTGAACTTAAACCATTTTCCACAAATGTCACATGTTAAAGACTGTTTACTTGTGTGAGTGTTACGGTGACTCTTTGTTGGGAAAGAGTTGTCTACATTGTCAATTTGACTTGTTTTATTAAGTGTCTTCTTTCCCTTTATTCTCTCTGACTCTTCATCTCTAGTTGATCCTGGGTCCACATCACTGCTTCCTCTCAGATCCTGGTCCTCAGCTACAGGAGAGATGTGAGAGAGGAGCTGGTCACGGTTTGGTTTTTGTTTACTGTAGTCGATCTCCTGTTTCAGTACAAGCTGCTCTCCCTCCCGACTGGTGCACAGTATCTCCTGTTCCTTTTTAATCTGTGGAGGATCTGGGTCCTCTTGGTCCAGACTGGAGTTCCTGTCCTGGTCACGGAGATGCTGGTCAGTGAGAACCTCCTCCTTCTTACAGATTTGTTGCTGTGGGAAGTCTAAAGGGGAAAAAATGCACACAAAAAAATAAGGCACTAATGTGATGAGGGAGTAAGAGTCAATAAAGGATATTATATGAGTCCTGTTTTCAATTGACCATTCTGCTTTCACACACCTGTCCTCTGTAGTTTTATCTCAGGTTTCCAAACAAGATCCAGTAGTCTGCGCTGATAATCAATGTCTTCATTGAACTCAATGATAATATTCTGAGTGACTCCAGCAGCAGAGGGTGGTGTCTGCAGGTCCTCTTGGTCCGGACTAGAGTTCGTCTCTCGGTCACAGAGCTGCTGGTCAATGAGAACCTCCTTCTTCTTACAGACATGTTGCTGCGGGAGCTCTGGAGGAACAAAGGGACACATAACTGGGTCTAATATGATGATGAAAAAAAGGACATCTCGGCAATATAATAACAGTGGCACGTAGGGTTGGGAGCTGAAACTTGGTTCCAAATTAGAGTCAAATCCAAACTGCTGGGGGCCAGTGAAAAAAAAGTTGAAATTCTGTTGTGCTTCTATGCATAGGTTTTTATCTTGGCATGGAAAGGCAACATATATCACTACAACTTGTGTGATTCATTAGAGGTGTGCATCTTCACCAGCCTCACGATTCAATTACGATTCAGCAGTCAACGATTCAATTCGCAAGAATGCATCGATGCATCAATAATTTGATATATTACTGCACATGGCTGCTTTTGCATCAATTAATAAATACAGTCAGAAAAACATGAACTCTGTTTTTTATTTAGAAAGTGCTTTAAAAAAAGATTGCAGACTGTTACTGTTATTACAATAATAATTATTTATAAAATAAGGTGAGTCTGACAATGGTCAGTGATCTCCACAATGATTTGGTATAATATACTGCTATTTAGTATACTATGGTGAATTTATATTTACTATATAATATATATATTGCCACTGTACTTACATTTGGTGAATGGTGTTTATGATGAACACATTCTCAGAGTACTGACTTGTTTAACTGCTGCTGTAACAAGTGGTGGTAGACATGCTCGCACTCACTTGTCCTGTGAAGCTTCAGCTCAGGTTTCAAAACGATCTCCAACAATCTGCGCTGACGATCGATCTCTTTCTCGTACTCGAGGACAGTTCGTTCGAAGACTGTGAATATTTCTTCAGCAGCAGATGTTAGTCGCTCACTGACAAACTCTCTCAAACACCGAACTGAAGCCATCATCCTCCGGCTGTCTCCGCACATCCACACTGTTAACGCTTCCGGTGCTCACTTCCGCTGGTTGTCAACGCTCCGCAAAGGAGCGACATACTTCCGTTTTAATGCTGTTCCGTTAACAAAATAAAACGCAATCCTTTCCTTAGTAGGCTGTTCAATGTAAATGTTGAGCACAAAAGTCATCTGTAAACAGTGTGACTGGAATCACAAATGTGTGATCTGTTGTGTACCTTAATATACAGACCTGAATACCGAACACAGGTACAGTGATTTATTGGGAACATGAGGGGGGAAAGAGTGGACTGTTAAATTTAAAGAAAAGCACATGTGAATAAAAAAAAAGAAATTACAAAAAGGAACAGCACTCAGTCCTTATGCTGAAGAATACAACCCAAAGCAAATTATTCATCTCAGTTGGCCAATACTCAGTCAACATTGAAGAAAACAATGCAATCTGACAAATGTGAAAATAAAAGACAAGCTTCAAGTGACAAATATCTGGTGAAACATAATCCTGGCGGTCAGCAGCATGTGGAGAAAATCATTGGATGGCCCACTGTTAAGGCAGAAGAAGTTCTCTGGCTACAAGCCTATGCATTGTTTATATGGGAGCTTTTGAAATTGCAATATCTAGATGACCTCAATATGGCAGCAAACATCAAAAACAATCATTCAAAAACTACCTTACAAGCGCAGAGAGAAATGGAGAGGAAATGCATGTGAAATCGCTGAAATCCAAGGCAGCAGATCTAGCTTTAAAGACGTTGTCAAGAGTAGTAAGTGAAAATTATCTTTTATCCAATTTCGCTGTATGTACTGTACAGTGCAGTGTATGCAAATAATGTAAGCAACATTACAGCAAACATTACAGAAGAATAGACAGTTTTGCAAATGCTGTTTTTATGCCTAAAGATCCAGCTCTGAATGCAACCAAGAACAGCTTTCAAACTCAACTAACAACTCAACTAACCCACTGCTCTTTTTACCACCATTCTGGTCTGTCTGCTTTTGCAAGAGGTTTTGCCCTGGGAGTTTTTTCCCTCAACAGTCACCAAAGTGTTTGCTCATTGTGGGAACTATTGGGTTTCCTTACAACTTTGTAAGGTCTCGATTGAATGTTTAAGGTTTGAATAGAAGTCAGGAAACGAGTGGCCAAAACAACTTTTTGGACATGGACATTGCTTATGGTCCAGAAGTTAAAAGTAACTTCACAGCAGTTGTCACTGAAGAGGGTTCAAATGCCACCTGTAAATTGATCACACACATTTCCAGCTGGAAGAAGTTGAAAATTGGATTCTTAAGTTAAAAAGGATTTTACAGACTTAAAGGTACAGTGTGTAGAATTTTGTGATATCTAGTGTTGAAATTGCATGTTGCAGCTGAACACCCCTCACCTCACCCTCTCCTTCTAAACATAAAAAAGAACCTGTGATAGCTTCAGTTGTCAGAAAACTGAAAAGGTGTTTAGTTTGTCCAGTCTGGACTCCAGTAAAAAAACATGGCGGCCGTAGAGAGGGTCCCCTCGATGTAAATATAAAGTATTTAAATATAAAGGACCTTTTCTGAGTTAAAGAAAACTACAATTCATACAATTTAGATGAAACTAACTAGTGAAACATCATGAGGATTATTCTACATTCAATTTCTGCCAATAGTTCCCTTTCACCTAATTCTACACATTGGACCTTTAAAGTAAGGAAAAGAGCTGGCTAATAACTGCAAACATAAACGGTGATGGTCATCTACTTGCCGATGTGAATGTGGAGATGTAAAAATTCAAAGCCACATTACAACAAAGGTTGTCTGTCGATAAACTCTTTGAAGCTAAAACATCTATAGTGCGCTTCAGTCAATTTGAAAAAATTTCCAAACAAATTCCATCAATGTTACACATTGGTCTGAATAACCAGCACCAAAAGAAATAGATTCATGAATGAATTGCTGTGACAACATTTTATTTCTGTAACAATTCTTGCAAAAACATCTTCTTCACCTCTAAGCCTGAAATATTTAGTGTATTATAAAATATACATAAAATAAAAAAATGAAAGGATATGCTGGAGGCAAAGAATAAAATTATCCATCAGGCAGGATGAAAATACACACACACACTATAGATATAAGTTAAGAAATGTATGCATAAATATTCAAAATAATATCTAAGAGGTTAATCACATTTGGAGGGGATAGGCACACACTGAGAAGATTTGGAAGGTCACGGTTCTTTCACACTGCAGAGTTACCACTTCAAACAGAAATATGAAAAGCACATATGGAAGTTAATTTGTCTCCACCAAAGTTTCATTTTGATGGTTACTCCTGTGTGAACCATACTGATTATTGGTCATACTGACCCCCCCCTCCCCCGCAATGATATGTGCACATAGAAGCACTGTATGAATGTGTGTGTGAAAGGGTGGATGGCAAAACTGGTCATCAAGAACAGAATGAAGAAATAAATACAGACCATTTACTATTTTTAAGTATGATTTCGAATGTGTCTTTGCAAGGATGACGTCTGAGTGAACGTTTTCCCACACGTTACGCAGCTGTACGGCTTCTCACCTGTGTGGGTTCTCATGTGCATGTTTAAGGCGCCACTCTGTCTAAAAGCTTTCCCACAGTCCTTGCAAAGATATGGTTTCTCACCTGTGTGAGTCATCATGTGAAACGTCAGGGAGCCGCGACGTAGGAAACATTTGCCGCAGAGTTTGCACAAATGTGGCTTCTCGCCCGTGTGGGCTCTTTTGTGAACTCGCAGGGACGACTTGTGCCGGAATTTTTTCCCACAGGTGTTGCAGGTGTTCGACTTCTCAGCTGTGTGGGTTCCTGTGTGGACCAGCATTGCTACTGTAGTCTTGAAGCTTTTCCCACATGTTTCACATACGTTTGTCTTCTCATCCGTGTGGATTCTTATGTGCTGTTGCAAGTGTGCTATATGACTGAATCTTTTTCTGCAGGTGTTACAAGAATATGGCCTCTCACCTGTGTGGTTCCTCAGATCCATATTCGATTTACACCCAAAAGCTCTTTCACAAGTTTCATATGTTCTTGTGTGAGTGTTACAGTGACTCTTTGTTGGGGGAGAGCGGTCTACATTGTCACTTGTGTTTTCTTGAGATCTCTTCTCTCTCTTTGACTCTTCATTTTTAGTCGATCCTGGGTCCACATGCTTGTGTCCTCTCTGATCTTGGCCCATAACTAGAGGAAAGTTGTGAGACAGGAACTCGTCACTGTTTGGTTCTTGTCCACTGTGCTCGATCTCTTCAGTACTAGGGGTAAACATGAAGGCATCGTTCTCCTGCTTCAGTACGAGCTGCTCTCCCTCCTGACTGGTGCAGAGCTCCTCCTGCTCCTCTTTAACCTGTGGAGGCCCTGGGTCCTCTTGGTCAAGACTTGTCTCCCGGTCACCGAGCTGCTGCTCAGTGAAAACCTTTTCCTCCGTACAGACATGTTGCTGTGGGAGCTCTGGAGGAACAAAGGGACACTCTTATTTTTAGAATTTGTTGATGATTCCTAAGCCTTTATGACAAAGAAATGCATTTGAGGTTTAATCAGTTGAACTTTGTTATAAATGACTATTAGAATTAAGAAAACACAAAAATACCCAAATATATAGAACTTGAATATAGACTTTTTCTAACTTAAACGTAAATCCTTTCTGCATTGTTTATACTGTAAAATACTGATGTTGGCAAACACTAATGCAGATAGGTTCATTTTTTTTTTTTTTTACATTTATAAAGAAAGGCTAAATATGTCTGCAAAAAACTTGGTTACCCGCCAGTAGCTTTTATTCATTTGGCAGGATCTACCTGTCTGTGGTGATCAACTTTCCTATACACAGGGTCCACATGATGCCCAAAGGTCAGCTTCTCATCAGTTACAGTCAAAAGATATTTTACTGCTGTGTAACTTCCACAGCCTGATCATTAATCCCACAGGAGAGATGACGTTCGAATTCTTCCTCAAAATCTATAAACATCTTCTGTCTCTTTGGTTTTGGAGACAGAAGATCTAAGGGGACTTACACCAGTCAATAAAATCTTTCGCTACAGGGTCTTCGGAGTTTAAAAAGAGACACAATGACAGAATCATCAGCAAACTTAAGAATAAGCTGCCCCATATATATAGAGGACAGAAAAGCATTTGATAAAATATTTTTAATCTTGACATGTTGAGACCTGACAGTTAAAAAACCCATCAGCCAACTTATTAATTAATTATTTACACCCCTGCGTGACCTGTAGGCAAATAGGAGCAGGTCCAAATTATCTTGGTAATTATCGGTGATGTTGCCACATGGCCCTTGGGCGAGAGCGTAGAGGCCCGAGCTTGTGCGGTGCAACTTGAAAGTCGGGGCTGCAACGCTGTTTAAAACCTGAAACTCCAAAAGTGTTTCGTGGACTCAACATTATCAATCACGTTCGATGAAAAAAAGGGGTGGGCTTCTGACTGACACTTTCGGTAGTTCGTCATTTTGATTTAGTTAGAACATGAAATAAACTGACTGAAGCTTAGTTGTCCCACATTATCAAATGCACCAGATTACCCAAATCCACCCTGTATAGTACTTGCAAGAGGGGCGTGATGGTTCTGGTTTGCCTTCATCTGTTCTCCAAAGCATCTTCTGATCTTTTCAGTCACTTCCAATCCATTTCACACATCCTATGCAATAGTTTCTAAATTCTCCTACCTGTAATATAATCAGGCATCACCACCCTCACCCTGATGTGGCAATCTGCCACGATCAACATGCTGTTCTGTTTACTCCAGACAATGAAACTCTTGAGTTAGTTTTGAACCTACGCGCCCGCTGTCGGATCTCAGTTGTGCTACCCCAGCCTCTCTGTGCTAGTCTTCAAACCTTTCAGCAGCAGCTAGGGACAGTGTGTAACAGATTTAAAATTCAAGCTCTAACAGTAGTAGAAACCTCTTCTGAGTTTTGAAATGTGTTAATATGAAAGATTATGCACATATACTTCAAATTCTGTGGTGGCAATTTCTGTGAAACATGCACACACAAGTCAAACACTTCTTTCTGAAGGTTTAATTCAGCATCTGCACATGGACTCATCCTGTCCATTTGTTTACATGTTCTGTGGATGACCCCCCTTGTGAGACCCCTGGTGTTAGATCCCAATCAGAGACACCATAAAGTTGTGGTTTCTCGAGGCCATACACCTCAAGTCTCTTAAGCCACCATCGTAAACCTTAAAGTGGCCCTTTTAGATTAACAATTTGGTCAGTCCTCCACATACATGCCTGCTCATGCAATTATACATACACACATGTAAAATATTGATACAGCTCTCAACAATATCTATAGCTTCACCTTTGACTATGATGTCATGTCTGATACTTTGTTCAATACTAAGGTTTTGCAGGAGCTTGCTCTCTTGTTTCTGCAGGAGTGTGAATGAATGTCTGGATGTGGATCTCTGGGCAACTCAATGGCAAATTAAATACAAATTCACTCAATAATAATTCATAATCTTTAATTCAGGTGCCAGTAGCAGTACGTGCAGATCCCTGGTTAGGATCCTGTGAGTCCTGCTCCTGTGTTAGTTTTCATTAGGACCATTCTGCTCGCACTCACTTGTCCTGTGAAGCTTCAGCTCAGGTTTCAAAACGATCTCCAGCAATCTGCGCTGACGATCGATCTCTTTCTCGTACTCGAGGACAGTTCGTTCGAAGACTGTGAATATTTCTTCAGCAGCAGAAGTTAGTCGCTCACTGACAAACTCTCTCAAACGCCGAACTGAAGCCATCGCTGCTTCTTAACACTGGAATTATTGGTCTCCTTCTTCTGAAGCTTCTCCTGAAGCTTCTCTAGTGTTTATTGGTGGTTGGAAAACCATCTTAAAGGCGCATTACCGCCACCAACAGGACTGGAGGGATTAGAGATTATGTGGAAAAAAACAAAAGAAACATTGTGAACTTGTGAACTTTTGTACCTGACAATGAAAATCATGGTGTTTTTCTTTTGCAAAATTCCACCTTGACTGGTCTGCAACAAAGCACAAAAGGCAAGTTGTGTAGTTTTACTTGAAACTCAGAAGTGTTTATTCAAATTATGATGATTTTGTGCTGCAGTGTTTGGCATACTATAGACATAATTGTATGGCATAATATAGACAGGAAGTTCTATTATTTTGTCCACTACATTTATATTACATTTAATTCAGAATGAGCTGAATGACAGAAACAGGGGTTCAGTACATGGAAATCATAACCTCTCTCTCAGAGTGGCAGTGTTCAGACTTCTCTCTTATTTCTGTGAACTCAGTACCAAGACCTAGCTCCAACAAGACATCAGAGCTGGACTTTGATTATGAACAATCAGAGAGGGGGATTGTGGCAAAGACTTCACATTATCACGTGACTCCTTCCAGCATGATAATGATCCATGTTACAAAACCAACAGCACAAGCTGCTTCCACCAACACACGTCCAAAGAACTTCAGTGAGCTCTCCAGTGATCAGATGTGAATTCAGTGGAACACATTCGGGACGTGGAGCTGAATCTCTGAGAAATGTTTTCATGACACCCAGAATTCATGCTGTTCAGAGTAACAATGAAGGATTCCTACTCTGTATTAAAAAAGGGGGGCCCTAATAAATTGGCCACAGAGTACAGTTTGCATTGTGAGCAGCAAAAACCTTTTGACATTTAAGTCAAATTCAACCTGTGAACATGTTATTTGAGTATGAAAAGATAACAAAATATTTCAGGTTAAACCAAGGATGAATTAATCAGGCTATATTTTCACCTTTTTCCTAATTACCTTTATAAAATCTCAACTGTGCCTGAACTGAATTTGTACACACAGATGATCCCCAGTGTTGAACCTATCAGATCAGCTGATGACAAGACGTGATGATCAAATCACCATATCCGATTCTGGCTCAAAAGGCAGTTTTGAAACCGTGACCTCATTCTTTCAAAAGACTGTCGCTCACAGAGCGATAGCTAACGTCTGCTCCCAAGAACGAGTTTTCTGTTTACCGTATGTGAAGAAGCTTAACAAAACCTGACTCTTGGGGCAAAGCTTCTGTCACACCCACATCACCTCAGGGGAAAATAAAGTCAATATGAAGTCAAGAATCTGTGCAGCTGACTTGTTTACGCCCCCTGCTGGTCCAGAACCTGGATGTTAACTTTCTTCTTCTTGCTTTTGTCTCCAGGTAGTTTAAGGTTCTCCTCTGTGATCTCCGGCTCATCATCAGAGTCTGATTCCTCCTCAGAGTTCAACAAATCTTCATCCTCAGAGTCAGAGTCTGACCCACTGAGCTCCACCAGTGCTACATCCTGAGAACAGGAAGAAGAAATCCCAACTCAATTAATGTACTTTTCAAAGTATTTTGATATCTGCATTAAGATAGAACGGAAAACAGTAAATAAAGGAAGATATTTGCGATGGTTCAGATAGTGGAATCTAAAAGTGCCAGCAACCGTATGGGCTGAGAATCTGATGGATGTAGTGAAGCTTTTAAAGGACTGGTGCAGGGCCTGTTCTAAAAGTGCATTTTTGCTCGGTCAGTGGTAATGTGAATTTGCTTTATTGCACGTTTGTGGTTTATATGCACTTGTGTGAGTGTTTATCACGTGCGACTTACCATCTCGATGACTCTCTGTGCCTCCTCCACGCTCTCTATGTCAAAGTGTCCAGCAGGAGCCTTATCCATCTGCTGCTTCAGCTTCTCGTTAGCTTCAGCCATCTGAGGCAGGAAGCTCTGCAGCCGCTCCAACACTAATACACGCCAAACACACACACCTGAACGTCAACCGGTTTTTCTTCTTGGTTTTTCCAAGTACATAATGTAAAAGAACTAATGAATAAGATGTCATAATGCAGTGAATTGATATGAGGTCTCACCACTGCTCCTTGGGACTCTCTCTGTCTGCAGGGACCTGTCAGCCTTCGGCTTGAGGAGGAGCGTCTCGCTGAGACCTGACAACACAAGCAACAAGTTTGTTACATCTCGTCACAGCAAAACCGCGAGAGTACATTTAACCGACTGAGGATTTCCCGACAGTGGCGAGACGAGTTCAGACAGGGAGCACAACGTTACAGTGACCATGATATGAGACGTTGAAGAAACCTTTATCCAGTTTTTCACGACTGCACTAAAGTCGACTCTAGTAGAAATACCCATAGATTATATACTGCGTCTCTGGGGACATGATGCCAATAATGGGTCTGCAACAAATCTTGCAAGTTATAACTTTATGCAAAAAACAGAATCTCCACAAACAAGCTGCAACTTCCTTTTTAGACAGTATTGTATTAGATGTTGCTCCATTTCTAACAGAAGAGACAAGAAAGAGAGAGGAAGATAAAGAGAGAGAGACTAAAGCACATCCTTCAAGAAGAGTGTGTGAGAGAGAGACAGGCAGAGAAAGAGGGATAGAGAGAGGGATCAGTGTACAACCCCACTCCTTCACTTGTAGCATGTAGCTTAGCTGCTCGCTGTCCAGTGTGTACACACCTGCTCCGCTGCCACATGACAGCAGGGCCTGGGAACTCGTCTTCTTCGTGTTCAGCTCCATTTTCAACTTGTTCGGTTTTTTTCATCAACGTGTTGCTGAGAAGAGCAACATCCGGGTGACAGGAAAGAGAAGCGCGCACACATATACATGCTGCGGTTTTACATGGCGCCCTCTATGGTTGGGGAAGAACTCGTGTGGTTGGTAGAGGACAATAATAAAGGTGTCATGAAAACGTTGCAGTCAATATGGAGGCTGAAAGTGAAGCAGACTCGTTAAGGGATTGTTAAAAGTCCGACGGGCAGTTCATAAAGGGACTAGACAAAGTTCACTGGATTTATTTTATGATATATATTCCTGGATTTGTTGTTATCTCTGACTGATGGCCAGTGTGTGTGATCCTGAAGAGAGGATCACTGTTCGATGCCTCGTTTAGTTTGGATTGTAGCTGAGTGCACGTCAATAAAGTTGTCTGGGGGAAAAAAAGTGTTTGTGTTTAGTTCCGGGTCAGCTGCGAGACGGCGAGGAGAGGTCTCACTCCTACCTGTTTTGTCAAGGTGAAATTTTAATTGTCCGCAGCTTCACGAGATTGTTTCACACCGAGAGTTCATCTGTGTCTCTTGACAGCAAATTGCTTCTTTGATGTACTCACGGTTTGATAGGTGAGATCAACCAGTCGTTTTTAATGCTGTATTCACATTCGCTTCACTAATATAAAGTGAATGACACCAGCAATTATTAAAACTGGATTTGCCTGACCGAGCCATTCATCAAGCCTTACGTAGACGATCTTCGGCGGCACTGTTTTCTCTGACGCGGCGACGTGTCTGTCTCTCTGTCTGTCTCTCTGTCTGTCTGTGTGTCTGTCTGTGTTGGACCAAGTCTCCCCGCGCGTCTCCTGGACTCCACACCTCCGCAGCTCAAAGGTAACTTCTGGACAAGAAACCAAAACCGAGTGACGACCAGAAGAACCAGCTACTTTAGCGTTTAGCTTCCCGGCCGACCCTCTTCGCTGCTGTGTGTTTACACGGCAAGCTAACGTAGCTATGATATGTAGCACGTCCACAACTAGTGTGTTGTCGCGCTCACTCGGCGGATAGTTGTCGGTTTGGGCCGTTAACTCGTGGAAGAGAAGAGCTTGCACACGCAGGCAGATAGACACCATGGAGGCCTGAGTACAGACGGTTACGACGAGTAAACAAAGTGACAGTGACCAGCACCAGCCCCTGTCTGTGCTCCATTCACTTCTTTACACGCTCATGGAATGTTGTTCTCCTAACTGCCCTCTCCTCTCCTCTCCTCTGTTTCTCTCATTGTCTTCTTTCTGCAGGATGTTGAGTCCCTGAGGCCAGTTTGTAACATGGACGATGCCCCTTAGCCACTGCAAACAAATAGTGTAGAACTTGCAACCCCCTCCTCCACTTAGACTGGATGACAGGAGATGAGACACCGCAGTCCCAGACCACACCATGAGTATCCAGAGCCTCGGAGGAGCTATAGGAGAGTCCCTTGGCTCTAGCCTGACGGTACGCATGAGTGGTGGGTGGAGTGCTCTCTCCCTGAAACCTGTGTCCTCCGGGCGGATCGCATCTCTGTTCCAGACCATGGTCCCTACTAGCTACACGAAGCTGCAGGAGGAGCGGCTGGCCATGGTGGACCTAGGAGTCAAAACTGACGCCAGCTCGCTCCAGAATGGCTACAGACAAGAGGCGTCTCACATCGAGAGCCGGCGGCACCAGGACCGGGCCTCTCGGTCCTCTGTGACCCTATCTGACTGTGGAGACGGAGGCTTCTCTGAAACAGAGCCCATGCTGGCTGAGAGGAGGCTCTCAGGAGAAGAGGCAGATGAGGGGGAAGAGGAGGTAGAGGAAGGACCGGGATCTGCTGGGCAGAATATGCCCAAGGAGTCACCGCTGGCCATGGCACTGCAGATCCTGTTGCCCTTCCTTCTCGCTGGATTTGGAACTGTATCAGCTGGGATGGTGCTGGATATTGTGCAGGTATGTCAATATAGGAAACAACTACTGTTCAAACAGAAATACAATGTAGTGAAGTTGTCAGCTTAGTAAACAAATAGAGAGGGGGAAATGGCCGTGAAAACCGGTTCCTCAGTCTGTTTGTGTGGCAGCAGAGGCTTCTGTATCTCCCCAGATGTCAGTGGAGCAAACAGTGTGTAGTTGTGCTGTGAAATGTCCTTGATGATGCCCTTCTGTCCAAACAGATAGTGTGTTAGTGTCATGCAACAAAACAAAGAAGTTGAGAGGGAATTCAATTCAGAGCAGCAGAAAAAATGTCATTGAAAAAGTGATATTTAAAACTTTTACCACAACATTTACTTTAAACACATTATCAACTAATGTAGGTCTGATCCCATCTGAGATATCTGTCCGTCTCTGTCGTTTTACCTCCTTGACCTCAACCTCTTCTAGTTTCCTCATTCGTGGCCTTTACAGCTCGGACTTCCGAGTTAAACAATTGGGATTGGTTGTTGCCAACTGGTAAACTAGAGATGCACCAAGGCTAACATCCTGGTGAAAATAGAAGTTCCTGGAATCTCACATATATCTGGATCAGCTCCAAATACAATGGGTTCTTCATAGGGTCATGCACCACCCCTCCACAAAATGTCATGGAAATCAGTTAATTCGTTTTTGAGTAAGACAGAGAGACACATCAGAGATTTGAATCTTGAATGTTGCACCTCATTTAGACAACTGTATGTATTAGTGTGATTTTCTACTGGAAATGTATTTTAATACAGAAGTTGTGCTTCAGTGTTGCTAACTGGTTAAGAGATTTTGTAAATGAGTTTCAGTGATTGCATTTCAAGTTCTATTTTTAGAATAGAAACAATTGTGAAAGACTTGAATTACAGCCAACTTCCTGACAACAGTGACAAACCAGTCTCTCGACTCTGTTGGATTCATTTACACTTTCGCAGTTACACATGCAAACTAGGGATTTGCTTTATCTTAATGGTATCTCATCATTTCACTACCAAATAAGTTGAACTGAAAGTGGAGCAATTAAAAGGTCAGAGATGTTTAAAGTCATTTTCGTCCACAGCACTGGGAGGCGTTCCGGTATATCACAGAGATCTTCATCCTTGTACCTGCCCTGCTCGGCCTCAAAGGAAACCTGGAGATGACTCTGGCCTCCAGGCTGTCCACTGCGGTGAGACACACACACACACACACACACACACACACACACACACACACACACACACAGTCAGAGTTACACACTGTCACGTGCGCCAGCTGGTTCAAAATATCTGCACTTCCTGACAAATCTATTGTTCTCTCTGTAGGTCTTCTTGTTTTAATTAGCTAGAATCCATCTGCAGTGAGTCAAGACCCATATTTTTTTTATTTTGTTGAAATTCTTGGTATATTATTGTTATGGGACAGGCCCACAATGTCTCAATGTGTTGGTTTGAATTAGAGCTTGAATGCGGACATTTTGAGTGAATTACACTCATGAAGAGTGCAGTGGTTTATTGATCACAGAATGAGCCATAATCATCCGTCATTAAATACCAGTCAGGTCTATTCAGGCAATTCCACCAGTAGATGTCACTAAATTCTACACACTGTACCTTTAATGACCACAAAACCAAATCAATGGACTTTTTGTTCGGTACAGTTTGGAAAAGATCATGACACAAGAGACATAACATAACATTTAAAGTGCATGTACATCATGATTGTTGCATAGAGTTCACAATCCCACATGGTTTTGGGGAAAATGTTTTTGTCACAGGATGATTTGGATAGTTGAAAGAGGTCATGAGGTGAATGGGAGGGGTCAGAGGTTATTTTGTGTAGTTGTGATGGTGCGTTTGTGGTGGTGATCATTGATTATTTGTTCACTTGTGCTCAAATCAGCAAATTGTTGACCTAGCACCAGGTGACTTTATAGGAAACCTGCCCACAATATAGATCTTCCTTGTTGGTGATGAATCTGATTATGTTTGTGTCATCTGCATATTTGACCATGGTGACTGAGCTGTGATGTCATGTAGTTGGTGTAGAGGGAGAAGAGCCAGGGTGAGCGGATGCAACCGGGATGATAAATTGTTAATCTTAAGCCGCTCCTGTCTGATCTGTCATGGAATATTAAATAAAATGACTTAATTTACATGTCAGTCGAAGTAAAAGTTATATACCATCCTGTATAACTCTGGAGGAGCGTTGTCAAGTCTGAGAAAATAACTGATGATTTCATCCAGACTGTCTTAGCTTAGGCGTGGAGACCACAAACAGAAGCCTGTATTACAAACTGGTGGGGTGGAGAGTCATAATGTAGTCTAATGAAAGTCTAACAAAGGCAGCAGGGTGGGTGTTCAGTGTATTTGGAGCTTAACCCATGAGAGGGGTCGAAAGTCAGGGTATCAATGACCTTTTAACACCATTGGCTTGATTTTTATACCTTTTAAGATTTTTTTTATTGTTGCTAATGTGTTCTTATTTAATGTCTTTGATTTTATTTTAAAGCACTTGAGCTTCTCATGTTCTTGTTATTTGTGGCCAGGCCTTCACAGTCCCATAGTTTCATTTAATATGTTTTACTGTTAATAAAATGTTTTTTTGCATTTACCCTAACTCTAGCGTCGTGTCCTCCTTGTGTGTAGCAGTCACAGGGTGGAGTCTACTTTAGTGCGCCTCACCTTTTATGGCTGTTGTGGTTTGGGTTCTGTTTTATTGGTTTTTATTATTCTGTCTTTACTCCCCACAGGTGAATGTGGGCAAGATGGATTCACCAATTGAGAAGTGGAATTTAATCATTGGTAACCTGGCACTGAAACAGGTAATAAAACACACACACACACACACACACACACACACACACACACACACACACACACACTGAATTCCAGAGATCCTCAAGACATTCTCCTGAGGGGCTGTATTTGTGAATGCCAATGTCCTATTGAGAGCCTCAGGACTTTCTGCTGACTTTCCTTGGCCATTCCCTTAGAGCGTAGAAGACACTGACAAAGACGTCAAGAGAGCTTTCGGTGATAAGAGCTGACACTGTTGTCGATGTGCTGTAAACAAAAACATGTGATGTCTGCAACGGAATTTATATGTAACCTCATGCACCACCCCTCAGCAGAACACTACAGAGATTTCTGTGCTGTCATGAATGCGTCTGAGCGGAAAATCTCCTGCTGTGTTTGTTCATTTGTGAAAAGCAAACTCTGGAGAGAGCCCAGACCCCACTCTCTATAGTTCATGTCTGAAAACAGCTTAGGTTGTGCTGATGGTAATTGGTGTAACCAGGTGGGATTTCACTCTGACCGTTGCTCTAGTATCTACCCACACACTGATAATAACATGTCCACATGTAACATCATAGTGTTTTATGAGCTTTGTGATTGATATGTTACACAACATGTCAGCAGGAGGTGTTATGTCATAGAGGATGATTCACCGTGTATATCTGGAGCTGCTGTTATCGCTAATCCTCTAAGTACCGTTTTCGTGTTTTCACAAACATGGTAATTCTTGTTATCTTTAACCACTAAAAGTGCACAGTAGACAATGCTCCTTCCCTCTGTGCTCCAGGTTCAGGCCACTGTGGTGGGTTTCCTGGCAGCTGTAGCAGCTGTGGTTCTTGGTTGGATCCCAGAGGGGAAGTTCCAGATGAGCCACGCCGTGCTGCTGTGCTCTAGCAGCGTGGCTACAGCCTTCATCGCGTCCCTGCTGCAGGGTAAACACTCACACTCACAGCTGGGTCACTTCTGTCCTCCCCCTAGTCGCTGGAACTGATGTCACATATATGTTACAAAAACACCCACAGACTGTGTGTATTATAACATCTGAAAGTTATCAGTAATGTAAGGACCATTAGTAAAGTGTTCCACCGTTCCTATGTCTTGTTCAGGTATCATCATGGTGGGTGTGATCGTGGGTTCAAAAAAGACGGGCATCAACCCAGACAATGTAGCCACACCCATTGCTGCCAGTTTTGGTGATCTCATAACCTTGGCGATCCTGGCCTGGATAAGTCAGGGCCTCTACAAGTGCCTGGGTAAGTGAATAATTGTTGCCTTCAAAACTGGTGCACTCACACACACGATTACATGACGACATCAACAGCCTGCGGGTTTCCATTATGGCCCGTCACCTCCTCCTCTCTGGCTGGGCTGTTGAGATGACTCTCTGTGGTGCACGACAATCAAACTTTCCAAGTTTTTTGCCACTAGGTCAACACTTATCTTCTGTTGTTTGAGGCGTCCCTAGTGCTTGCACTACATTTGTCCGATGTTTTCAGCTGTGAGCAGCTCCTGTATTTCTGTTTGTTGTCTGCTTACTAACTGTGGACATACTCAAACCCTGCTCATAATTGGTATGCAGTTAAGATTTAGGTCAGTGTTTCAGCTCTTATTACTGCTACTGCTTCAGGATTAGGGCAGACACTCATTAGGTTGGGTTGCCTTGTATCTTGTGCCTGTGTCCTTCCACCTCACCCCCCCCAAGGCCTGTGCTCACTTTCATTTCTCATAACACATTGAAAAAAAAAAAAAAACAGACGTGGCACCACATGAGACCTGCACTTCCAGGACATTGTGGTTACATTTGACTGGAACAATATTGATTCGCTATCTGACCCCATCAATTAATATATAATTAAATGTGATTGTCAGTTGAAGACACACACACACACACACACACACACACACACACACACACACACACACACACACACACACACACACACAGGGTGAAGGAGAGAAGTTCTTCCAACAGATTATCACACCACACAGCATTCTTTTTGCTCTAATTTTTGCAGGAGACTCCCCCCCCTTATCCAGGAATATATAAATATTAATTAATTCAATATTCAGTTATGTGCTGCTTTAACACCAAATGCGACCCAAATTTTTTCGCACAATGAAATTACATATAAAGTCAATGCAAAGAAGTGATCAGATGCGGAAAAGATACTTATAGACCAATTTGCGTAACGCTGAGAATGAAAATCCTAAAAGGGACACTGGAGTTGGTGCTCAATTCAGATTTTTTGTGTGTAGCTGTTCACATTATCTTTTAAATTGTGTCCAGTATCAGACTCCAATGTTAACTGGTCATGACCCTGATGTGAATTGCAGGTGCGTTTACAGTATAATATCTCCCTTGATATGCATTCATACAGACTAGTTACGATACGACCCTTCAAGTTTTGCTTGTACAGAAGTGTTATCTAAGTGCGTGTGAGTTCTAAGACATCACTTTCCCTCCACTGACAACCTCCGTTGAAGCTTTCTACCATGTTTGTTTTCGCTGGGTGACTCCCGTCCGCCACTTCAAAAAATTATGAGCAGTGTCGATCTAGAGCTTCATAAAAGTTGCATTGAATTCCGACACAGGTGACATGGCTGTTCAGACTGAGGTCACAAATCAGATCTGTATCTAAATCTGATTTGAAAAGATCAGATTCCATGTGATTTGTGCCGTTCACAGTCATTAAACAATCAGATCTGGTTCACATCGGGGAACAAATCAGATCTGTGCCACTTGGGCCCACTGTGTGAACATAGTGATACCAGAGTGCTTAATAATTTTCTTCTGTGGCATGAAAGAGAACACTTAACTTCTAGAGGTAGATGGGTCTGTGGGAAAGGTTGATTGTTTTGCAACATATATTCAGATTTTTTTGTATAAATATTGAATTTGATTTGAAAACCGTTTGTTTGTAGTGAGCGTAACAAAGTGCGACATCCTAGTCATGTGGTTTAATACTGTGCCATCGGGCACAGTCAAGTACTGGGATGCTTTTTGTTACTTGTGTGTTGCTAAAATTATATGAAGCAGCTCTTATAGCTTTTGGTTGGGTTGTAAAAGTTGGTATCAACATGAATGAGACCAGAACTAAAAGAGAAGCAGTGTTGAAGTCATTTAAGACTCCCAAACATTACTGACTCTGATCTAGTCCACAAAAAATTACTTTTATAGAGATTTTTACAGAAATCTCCAGAGCTATCAGGTGGTGCAGCAGACAGAAGCATGTCTGACAGCAGTGGTGCAAATAAAAGAAAAAGAAGGCATGTGACGGGTCATACATTTATTTAGAAAATAAAATAAGCCCTCCTCTCCATAGATGTCACCAAGTGCACGCCTGCCTTCATCGTACTATATGGTTCACTAGAGGACAAAGAAAATAACAAGGCCGACGCCACATTTCTTTCTTAAAATGAAGGTCCTATTTTTTAGCCTTGTAATAATAACAGCTAAAATCATTTTCTTAAAATTGTATCTGATGTTTAGATATCATCTTAAAACTCCCCCTTCAGGATCTGCCTCTAGTTTGGGAAACATTGCCTCAGAATGTGGCATGACTGATGAGTGTAGTAAAGTTGAGTCAGTAAAGTAATGCTACGATGGTCAGTTTGGTCAGTGTTTGGTTAGGATGTTACCAAGATGAGAGGTGAGTTGTTCTGTATGATACACTTCCCACAGTCAGCCAGCAGAGGTCCCTCCTGCCTCACTCTGCAGCACAGACCACCTTCTCTCCTCTTTTTGACGGAATTGAAGTCACCAGATATTTCATGTCACACCCAGACTTTGGTGCAGACTTGTATGACTTAATTCTGGGAACACTGGCAGGAGTTTTTCCCTGGAAAATGTCTAATGCTAGTTTAACTGTACGACAGAGATGTTCACCACTATGAAAAGAACAGCTGACTGCTGTGAGCGAAATGTATTAAACACACTTCCAGGGCAGTGAGACTCACTGACTCTGTCATTGTCTGGACAGTGGCGCGGTTGTTCTGGAGCCTAGTCATTCCAACACTCTGTGGCTAAATAGGAACTAATGGTCACTGTACTCTCCATTTTGACAGAATTATCAATCAAAATCACATGATTATGTATGCAGCTAAGATCTTAGACCACCTGAGTCAGGATAAGATGCCGGCAAGACGGAGCAGCTGTAGGAGCCAAGTGGAGTCCAGAGGAGTTTATTTATAGAGTGCTTCTAATGCACAGGATTGTGACAGAGTGCTTCAGCGAGAGGGCTCCTCAATGACTAGAAGCAGGAATGATGAAAGCCTGAGATAGAGAACAAATACCAAGAAATAGAGACAGCGCTTGTGAACATCCACAGTAATTGTCTTTGTGTGGATTTGTTTTTTCTGTGTCGAAATTCCCCAATCAATGGAATGTCAGGTGTAGTGATGATGAATTAAATTGGCCGTTGGTTGGGGAATTTTGACAAAGTGGTTCTACTCTCATCTGCAGACGTTTCCCACGTGCACAGAAGTTGCGCGAGCACGACGACAAGAGCTGAAGCTGGAGCAAAGAAAATCTAACCACAAGCTGGGGATGTTTGAGTGCGAGTGCAGTGTTTTGAATGAGAGCATTACAAAATCTGATCAAATCAATTGGTCGTGCTTTCAAACTGAAAGACCACTCTCTTGAATAAAGAGAGGTAAAAAAAAAAAGAAACAAGGCATCAAACACATCAGAGTTTTAAAAGATTTGTTTGGCCACTTAGGGAAAGTAGAATAAGCTGTAAACACAACAACAGATGTTTACCTTATTGAGTTGTTTTGCCTGATGTACAAGCAAATAGCCGTCTGGTAGCACACCCTGCAGACACAAGTCCAGTGTTTCCTCTCTTTTAGCTCTGTTTGGTCTCCACCACCTCTTGAGGCAACTGTCCAGCTCCTAAGCTGCTTAGCAGCATCCCAGAAAAATTTAATTTTGTGTTTCTGGCCTCGTTACCACACAGGATATCTCAGTTAGAAAAGCCCTGACAGGCTTGTGTAAGCCCACATTGGATTCATTGTTGACTCCCTAGAGCAAAGAAGCATCTTGCTCCTCTCACTGGTACTTTTACATTTGCAAACTCATGCTGGGTGTTGTGTGCACTTCTGCTACCATTAAGCTTAGAACTACTTATCATTATTGAGACCATCATTTCATCCTTCATAAGCATCTTGCCATTTCCCAGCTAAAGGAGACTTTTGGCAGCCTCTTCCCAAATGTGTGCCTCAGTATATCTGACTCCAATTTTTATTTTAGGACTTAGAGTCTGCTCGAGCCCGTAAACCCCAAACTGAACACCAGGCCCTTTCTGCTCTGCAGCTATGAGACCAACAAGATAATAAATCTGGGACTGCTTCCTAATGACAGTTATTTAGTGCTTGGAACAGGATTGTGCTGAAAACATCTGGGGGGGGGGGCAAAGCAGGTGCTTAACCCTAATTACTCTTTCAAAATAGCTGTTTTGTATTATATTGCAGAACAAAGAGGCATGGTAATAGAGAGAAGGTCAGACAGACCTTCCTGTGTGTTGTGTTTCCCCCCTTTGCTCCACTTCCTTCCCCCATTGAAAATGTATGAAGTTCAGGTGTTTTCTTGCTTTAATTCAACTGCCAAACCTCTGTGGATTTGCACTATTTAAAAACGGAACAAATATTTATATCTACTATCTATTTTTCAATCTGTTGCTTTCACATTAAAGTGCATACTTGCACTACAATTGCTATTATTATGCACGCTTGTTTCGTGTTCCACCAACTAACATCGGCTGTCGTGATAACCTCTGCTACAAAGTAGATTAGAAACTGTCTCGGTTAACGCTGTGTTTTCTTATCCAGCTGTGAACGCGTTCATAAGACAGAGACAGAGGCATTAATTATGAGTGACATCGTCACAACCATGGATGAAGTTTTAAATATGATATGAGAAAAAACACTGATATCTGCCCAGTTAAAGTTACTTTTAACAAAGTAAAACCTAAATGATGATGACATGACTCAAAATTATGAAAAAATGATAAAGAGAAATAAGTTGGGATTTTTTTTGGATAGTTTTACTGAGTTTTCTTTTTTGTTTGACGATGAACAAACACTTTTAAACATGTGATTGAAATAAAAAAAGTTAAAGAGGAGAGAATTAGTGTGTGATATGTGAGAAATGTGTGATAAGCTGAGTCCGACTGAAATGTTAATTTATAATCAAGAGAAATATTGAAGAGCGTGTGGATCATTTTTCTAATTAAGGTAATCAGAGGCTTCGTTATTAGTTGTCATTATATTGTTCTGATCTACTGAGCGGCATGAACACTGTCTGGTTATGTCAGAATCAAAGGATTTTTGTTGTATTCAGGTTTTTTATTAATGTGATAAACTTTCCCTCTGTTTGTTTGACTCTCTATTTTAAAACCAGAGTGGGCACAGTAGAAGTCTGGAACAGAAACATTTATTCCATCATCTATAAATTATAATTTTTGATGAATATTTCAATTTGATTTTATTTGTGTAGCGCCAAATTCCAACGTACAATCTCTCTCTCTCTCTTGTTCTCTCTCAACAATATATATATATATATATATATATATATATATATATTGTTAAGCCCAATGAGACAAATTGTGATTTATGAATAGGAGCTTCACAAGTAAAATTTGATTGATTGATTTACGCTTGGTTTTGTTGTGGTGGCCATAAATAAATCAGTGTGAAACACTGAGAATTGTAAAATGCCTGATTTATAAGGAAACTGTTGCAGGTCAGAGGAAATCAAGTTAGCTGACGGTTAAATGTGGCTCAGGGCTCATTCATTTCACTCTGAGGGTGAGTAATAGACTGCAGTCATGTGCCTCCTAATGTGGTCTGAACGATCAAGTCTAATGATCAAATGTGTCTCGGGTGCGTTCACACAGCTGCTTCAAAGATAGCAGTGATTCATATTGTAATTTGAAAAGTCCTTAGCGTTTTTTGCATCATGATGTTATTTTGTGTTGTCAGGGTTCATCTCTGTGGAGAGAGATTAAAGCAAAGAGATTTAAAAAATGGAACTTAGAGTGGAAATGTGTGAAAAAAGAAAGAAAACGTATGATTCAGATACCATGAGTGGCCCGGCACCCATGTGGTTTCCTGAACACACGCTGGAGTAGGCTCCAAACCTCCACCCAAATGGAACAGGAAAAGTTAACGCTTCTCTACTTCACCAGATTCCTATCCGTATGTGTCGTCACTGGTCTGCGCCTTCTTCATGTGTCTCACTCCTCTGTGGATCGTCATCTCCTCCAAGCACCCGGCCAGCCGCACCCTGCTCCACTCCGGATGGGAGCCAGTCATCACTGCCATGGTCATCAGCAGGTGTGTGCGTTTGTCTTTGGAACCGTGTTTGTGTGTGTTTAGTCCTGAAAGGGGGAAGGAAAAGCAAATCTGCATCTGTGAATGGTGTCTGGTTCGCTCGATGACTCATCTCCTAAACAAATTGCAGCACATACACCCCCGGTCCCCTTGAGCCTGGCAGCCGTACAGATACAGCCAGTAGGAAGGGAATGATTGTCTTGCTCCCTCATTCCCCGTAGCGCCCGTCTTTCAACACTCAGGTGACACCATATTTCTCAGGCTTTAATAGAAGAGAGTTTGTTTCCGGACACAGCAGCTGAAAGCAACTGAAAAATCCTCCATTGCACACTTTATCTCTCGCAGCTGCTGGAACATTTTAGTGGGCTCTTGTGTAGAAATGCACACCAATCCATCGTGGAAGGCATTTACATAAAGACAATGTCGGGTTTCTTTTTGCATGCCCTCTTTCTGTGTCTCTCCATGCGTCTCTAACACAGACACAGTAACACCAGTTAATGAGCTAATCATGTTGTCTTCTGCAGCATTGGAGGACTCATCCTGGACAAAACAGTATCTGACCCGAATTTGGCTGGCATCGTGGTGTACACCCCGGTCATCAACGGTGAGTCACAGAATTGGCACTTGTTCCTCCTTCACTCTGAAAGGCTCTGAGGCATCGCTGTTTGATTTGCAATTGCTTGCCCCTGTGGCACGAACCGACAAGGAGATTGGTCAAAGACTAGGCCGAGGCTTATTAGCTTATTAAAGTCCTAGGGGATTTAGAAAAGATATGTTAAAAGAACAACACTTGTCCCAGATTCTATAGGTCACAGAACTCACAAGAGTCAACGCTACAGGGTTGTGTTCAGGATTCTACATGGGGATCCAACTAGAATCATTCACTCACATTATCTTGCACACACATACAAGCTGCATTGTTAAATTGTTAAAGAGTATATGATCATTATCGCTGATTTTGTTCAGACCCCAATTATTTCCCACGGTTTCAAATCCACGTGCATGGTTTTTAAATCTATATGCACTGAGATGCACTATAGATATCAGAGTATGGTTTAGAAATTGTTTTTTAATGTGAGTGTAGAGATATACAAAGTGCTCTGTGTTCAGTCAGTCATGGGAGAGCTCAGTAGAAGATTCCTGGTTGCATTATGGATCCAGTTCCAGATTTGTTACACGCCACAGTTAACAAATCCATTATCAAATCTTTTATTCAAGTTCACTGTTTACCAAAGGCATCAGCCAAAACAGAAAGACTAATGACATTTATACACATGATAGCGCAAGTGATAGGTTTGTTGTAATTCAACATATTGGACTGATTGAAATGTCACAAAGTGAACAAAACATCCATAAATGTTATATTTGGAGGAGGGTATTTGCTTTGAAGCTCAGAATGAAGAGTTCTTTTGTTTAAATGTCTCCTGTTCAACGTGATCATGTGAAAATGTTTCAGCCTACCCCCGAAATCAACTTTGAAGAAGAAGCCAGTTTCGTAACTAGAATGGCACTCAGTAGAGTGTATACTACAGAGTGTATACTCAGAGGGCCTGATCTACTAAGATCCAGAATAAAGAGTGCTAAGTTACGTTTGCATTATAACAGATTGCACGTTTGGTCGGTGGGCGTTTTGTGGGTGATCTACAAAAAATAATGATGAGAATAATTGCGTAAATAACAACAGGTGCAAACATGGTAGAGTTAGGCTTGAGGTAAATTTTCTGTTCTTTAGTGGCTGTGAATTCTCAGTTTTATTTGGCTGCAGCCATCTGTGTGCAACACTGTGCCGATTAGCACCTTTCAAGCGTGTTAAATATACACATACAGTCACAACCACCGCAATTATTTTCAGGCTTTGTAAATCACAGTGCGTGTGCTAAATTTGTATTTGAAGTATTTGAATCTACTCCTCCCCAATATTTTGCGCAGTCGGGTAGAAACAACCGATATTGCATATTCATTAAAGCAAACGTACTAAATGAACAGTGCATTATATTCTGCACGCAATCCTCAATGCGCACCATTAGAAGATCAGCTTCCATCTTTGCAGGTGAAATCAAGTTTGCACACGTTTTACACGCGCAAGCCTTTCGTAGATCAGGTCCAGAGTGTATTCTACCGCCAAGGTCCAACAGTCCCCTTATGAAACCACATTTTAATTCGCTAGATCATATTTTTATTTTTATCTGCACCAAATTGCACATGCTCAGAAAGAGACAGTCCAATAAACATTACAGATTTTTTTCCCCAATCAAGATCCATGAATTATATCTGAGAAATCAATAAAGATAAAAAGAAGTCCTAACTCACAATGTTAAAGAAAGTGAAAAAAAATCCTGGATCTGCCCCTAATCCATATATGCACCAAAATCATATGGCTTGTATCATGAGTTATGCCCCACTCCCTTCCCACAATTTCAAGGAAATCGGTCCAGTAGTTTTTGTGTAGCCTGTATGAAGGCATATTTGCTGCAAAACAACTGAGCACCTGTGACAAAGGAATTTTTGCTTGTAGAAAGGAATTTGTAGTGTGTGATGATGACGATGAGGGAAACACTGGATGGATAATGTAATTTGCCAACCACCATTAAAACTCAAAGAAGAAAAATAACTCATTTTGTTGACCAGTGAAAGAATATCTGAGAGATATCTGTTTTGGACTATGCAGGAGTTTCTTAATTTGTGATTCATAACATAGGATTTGTGCACCTGTAATGAAGAATTAGAGAAGATGTAAGTGTATGTGGTTTATCCCTTTCAGTTTTCTAATTAATGCAGGTTTAAAACCCTTCAAGAAAAGGTGTTTATACAAGATGGATGACACACTTTTGAGACTTTTGTCTTGTGCTGTGCAGCTCGCAGGTGTGAATGTATGTGAAAGTAAAAACCTGAAGAAGCAAGCGTGCCCTGTCAACAGTCCCTGGATGAATATGTTACTTATAAAAAGACTTCAAATGTTCATTAGTACATACAGGTTACCTATTAGGCAGCTGGATGCAGTTCATCTGTCTGCACTTCATAAAACTGGTCCTTCTCCATTTCCTCCTGCTTCCATCTCCCACTAACAGGCTCAGCCAAGGCTGCCAGCGCTTAGAAGAGATTTTAATTATATTTCATTAATGGGCGACATTTAATCAGATGGTGTAAGATTGTGACTCTAATATGTTTTCTGTTCAGATGAATCCTGGACACAAAACATCTGGGGAGGATGTCAAGTGTATGTCTGTGTATGATGTTGATTAAATCTTATTTTTCTGTTTGCCCAAATGTTCACTCCGTCTCTGATTTACACCATTTTAAACATGGTCAACAGAAAGGCGAGGTGGGTCATGTCCTAATAAAAACTACAAGCGAACAAAGGGCAGACAGAACAGAGATGGTGAGACGATGGTGGGATTAGAAAGGAGATGTGCAGACCTTGATAAGAGAGGATAGGTTAAATGAAAAACACTGGGAGAAAGTTTTCTTTTTTACCACTCTGACCTCCATTATTTTCATTTCAACACTAAGCTTTTTCATCCAGCTCTCTGGCAATGGATGGTATCTATGTCTGATGAAATTCTATTAATACATAAGGTCTTAAAAGGTTTTCTGGAATCAAGAAGTGTCCGCCAGTTAATTTCCTGTCAAACTTGTTCTTATTCTGCCCATTTCATTAGCTCCAGTATATCACCTCTGAGATGGTGTTAGTGCTTTTATTGCAATTTCAGGTGTCCTTATTAAGGCCATCGATCTGATCTGATATTGCGTTATGTTATGCGTCTTGTTCTGTATTTTTCCTCCAGCTGAGTCTTTTAATCTTTTGCTTGTCATCTTGGCATATTTGCCCTTTTCTCTTCCCCCCCCTGGTTATTTGTTTAGAGACGAGGTTTCTCTGTCTTGTTTTCGTTCCAGGTTATTCTTTTATTATATTGTATCTTCTTTTATTGTGTCACATCCTTGTGTCAGAGCTGTTCAAATAAACACAATGAAATTAAGCCTGCAAAGGAGTACGACTAGATGAGGTGGCACACAGACACTGCCCACCTCCTCCCTCGGGGCTGAGTGGCTCGGCTGAGAGGAGCACAGACTCCCTGCTGTTCCCCATGTAGCCTTGCCTCCTCGTCTCCTTATCCTCATTCCTCCTGTCAGACCCGGTGACCTGAATCAGCCAGGATGCCCCCAAAGCTCCTTCACTCTACCTCTGCCCCCTGCTGAGGTTACGAGAACACCCTGCATGCTCTTACCCCCTTCGTAATTTGACATAGAAATAAGAGCCAAAAAATTGCACAGTTCTTTTGTGTGATAGCGATCCATATCGCTCTAAATTATATATCACAGCATGACAAAGAGATGGTCATGCTGGGTAGAAAAAAAGTGGAATATAAAGCAGTTTTCAGATGGAGGATGTCCAGAGAATTGGGTCTGGACTTTCTCCAGAGTTTGCCTTTTCATACACGCACGAGGCAGCAGGAGATTCTCCACTCAGACGTGTTCACAACAACACAAACATCTCTGGAGTGTTCAGCTGAGAGGTGGTGCAGAAGGCAGAGGCAGGGCGTAACATATAAATCCCCCTGCATCGCATGTTTCTGTTTGCAGCACACCGACACCGGTGTGGGCCCTTACCATCAAAAATTTGTCAGTGTCTTATGGCTCCACTTTTCATCCTGAGATATTATGATTCCTTTTTGCATCTCTTGTGTGTTAGAAACATCATCAACGTGCCCTCTCACTCGTAGGGAATCCTGCAGAAGATCTCCTGCTGTGTTCTCACATTGGCCCCCTTCAGAAATTCAGCAGACTTTACACTAGGGGACTGACATCTGAAGGAATTTCTGAGGTTTTTATTATTTTTGGTGAACAACAGTGCAGGTGTAGTGTCTGTGTGCAGCTTCTTGAAGGATTGAAGTCACAGGGAGGTTGCCAGGTTTGGTTAAATGGTCTGCGTTTATATAAATGGTCTGTATTTACGCAGCACTTTTCTTGTTTTGATGACCACTCAAAGCACTTTACAGCTTTGGTATCATCAATACCCTATTTAGCTACTCTAGAAACACTTGTACTTGGCGAACCCCTGTGATTGTGAGGGCAGGAGCGTGAGGTGATAGGACGAGGTCAGACAGAGCAGCGCCAGTATATAGGCTCATTACAAAGTTATGCTCCCAGTGGGAGCGCTTGTTACGCCCTAATAAAGCGTCAATAGGCAGACAAAGAGCTAGAATAGATCGAAATAAGTGGATGCCACCCTGAGGTGGTGGGAGTGTCTAATTTAATAAGCCCACCACAATAACTGGCCTGTTTGGCAGACGGGGTGGGGGGGTCTGTGGCACATAACCCAAACCCTGCTTACACTACACAACCATTTTGTTGGCTGACACGTGGAAAATGTTTTCACCCGCTGCACAGAAAGATTTGAATGAAAGACTTTCTATGATTCTGAATAAAAACCCCTCTTTTCTAGTGTTCAGGTCCACTCACTCACTTTTTTTTTTTTTTTT